AGTGCTTGTAAAAAGATGCAGGCTAAAGAAGGAGGCAACGAGGCAACTCTTCATCATATCCCTCAAGTAATATTTATAAAATGAAGCATGAGGCTCCTTCTTCCCTGTGGCTCCAGGAGGAGATGCAGCCACATGCCAGCATTGTTGCTTTCACCCCCTACAGGGTCATTTTTCTGCTAACTGCTCCATTGCTTAGGATTTCAAGCAGGAAGATACACTCAGAACCTGCTGGAGTTCTTAAGAGATGTGTGGCCAGGTAGAATCCTTACAGGATTAGGTATTCATTCTCCAATATGTGTGACTTAAAAATGCAGTTGCTGATTGCTGTCACAGCACTGATGGCGAGGACTCAAGAAAACCTTATAAAACATGAGGAAAGCCAGAAAGGCAGGGGGTTGGAGGAATGACTTTCCCACAGTTGTTTTTCCTGACAAGTTACATTCATTGTCTTTAGCCAGGCCGAGTACAGCCAGGAGGGGCTGTATAAGATAAAATATATCTGCTGCTGCCAGAAAGAGGTTCTGCACACTTCCTGATGAACCCACTGACAACCTTCCTCCTGTGCTCCTGAGGGAACATTCACCCTCCCACCTCGGTGATTCCCTCACCTCTGCACGGAGGGGTTTGTGCTTCTGTGCCAAGGGGAACTCGCAGGGTGGGTGAGGCAGCTTCCTGGGCATGGAATGCCACTTGTGGAAAGGCTCAGAGGCTTCTGGAGGCTACTTTCATTATCGAGGGAAAAGGAAAGCAGCAGCTGCCACCAGGCTGAGCTCCTGGGGTGGGGTTTACTTGTTACAGGGTCTTTCCCTGGTGTAATTTCAGAGCTAATCTGTGCAGGAGCACTCATCTTGAAGGGCTGACAGGTTTTGCCCAAGCTAACAACAGATAAAGCTATCCCCAGACCCGTTGTTCCATCCACAGTTTGTAAAACAGCAGAATGTCTTTGTTCCTAATGGGGATTGAGAACTAACAAATTTGCAATATAACTCAAAAAAGCCATGATATATGTTGGAAACTATGGATGCAAGTCAACCTCCCGTGTCCCAGAGCCCAGCAGTCACTTTCTAGACATTCCATTTTTCTTCTGGCATCAAGTGAGAAATCCTCATGGACTGGCTGACAGCACAAGATCCCCCATCCCTGGGGAACCACAGCTTTTTCCCACTACTATTTTTATTCCTACTACTATGGGGGAAAGCAAGAGACCAAAAGAACAAGAAGAATGGTAAGGTTTGAAGTGTAGGCAGTGAGCTGCTGCCCTGCTGAGCTGCACAAACGAGAGCTGTCATTCCTGCCACCTGCAGCACAGCCTGCTCACCAGCCCCCAGGCAGCCGGCAGGCAAGGGGAAATCCAAGGCGTGTCCTCCTCCCGCTGCACTAATAGGTTTCCTTTTATCACACCACCATAGGAACACCAGGGTTTATCCTTTGCTGTTTTTTTTTTTTTTTTTTTTTTAAGAATGATGGAGTGTTAAGAAAATGAAACACATTGGGATTTCCCCGGCTGGGAAAATGAAACACATTGTTTGGGATTTCCCCCATCATCCTGTGTAAAACTTCTGCTTCTTAGAAAAAAAAAAAAAAAAAGAAAAGAAAATTTTTAAAAGTCAGCACAGAGGCATTGATGTCATTCTCCCCATATTATCCTGAATGCTGCTACATCACCATCAGGCTACACCAGATGTTCAGGCTAGTACTGCAGGCTGGGGAAGTGAGATTCAGCTACAAAAATGAAATCCTAGTTTCTATAAACTAATTTATATTACTTTCATCCCTTCTTCTCAGTAACTTCACTGAGAATCTGAAGAAACAATATGGAATATGCACAGGCACTGGGGATGTTTGTTGATTTTTTTCATCAGATAATTCAGAGTGGCTGAGAGTGAGTCAGCAAAAGAGTAATTAAAGGCAGGCACTTTAACACCCAGATTTATCTCTAGATCACCTCCTCTCAGGTCCTCATCAATCATCAACCAAAGAAATAACAGCAGAGGAAAGAAACGATAGCGCCACCAGCAAAAAAGAAAAAATAATTAATGACTTTATTTTTTTTTTTTTTTTTAGTTCAGTTGGCCATCTGAGGTGCTAAAATCTCAACACCAATGAAGCAAGTGTGCATGAAAACAAACAATAAAACACAACCAAATAGAAGAAAACAGGCTGGAACAGAGTTGGTTTTGTACAGGTAGGGTATTCGCTTTTCTGTTAACGCTCCATACATGCCAACCGTAAGCGCCTTGAACAATCTGAATATCAGAGTTCACGTTCATACAAAAGGGCAGATGCCAAAGCAACTCCCTTTGCCTGGATTAGACTTCACACACACACGCATGCACCCACAGATACAGAGTACTGAAATGACTGCAATGCCATCAGAACATGGCATCCTCCCCTTCACACCTGCTTTCAGTCACATCCTCATCTGCCTGCTACCCTGCCTAGTATCCTGCCAAGCAGGCATGCACAGGCAGGGTAGCAGGCTTGGACAATCCAAAAGCAGGAACTTTTGGAAAGCTTCCCATCTCTGTTCCTTTGCAAAGGTCAACAGCCAGCGATCTCTTTCTCTGTGATTATGTACAGACTGGTTTTTAGTATGCTTTAGAGTTCTCTTCCTTGCAGACAGTGACAACTGAAATTCCCATTACAGCTTTTCAGTTTGCACATGGGAGATTTTACAATGCAACAACACCTCTCTCAATCCACCGGTGTGTGGTGTAAACACTTAATGGAAAACTCATTTTAGAAGAATGTTAAACCAACAAGGTGTAGCTGCTCACAAAAGGGAACTGCCGGCTGCTCTAGATCATGCTGTCTAGACCACTTAGAATACTTCATACGTTCAGGATTAGGATGTATAAAAATATTAAAACCCACCAGAGTGCACACAAATGTGGTGACTAGCTCTACGCAAGCACCGTGTTCTAACAGAGGCCTAGGCATTGCAAAACTCAGATTCTTGACCATGGGGGTAGCCCAAGGATCCACTGGTGCCTTTACATACAAACAAATATTTACAGAAAATGCAGAGACAGAGAGAGAAGGACAGACTTTTAAAACTTGCGGTTTGCTCTAAAATATGTTCAGCAATGCAGTTTATAACATGCCCTAGTGAGACCAGGGGGTATTGGTTAACTGAAAGAAGGAATATGTCTGAAAGTTGGAGCTGAAATGTCTCGTCACCTCCCCACACATTAGTTCTCCGAAGCTCGGAATTTTACAGCCAGTTGTGACTTTTAATGACAATATGGTTAAAAGGAACAGAACAGTTTTAAAAAAACTGGTACTGTGAAAACAGCAGATTAGTTGTTCTGGCAGTCCTCACTCCCCCCTCTCCATTTACCTCCTGGGTGTTTCCTGCCAGGAGCTGGTGTTCCCCTCCCTTGCCCCATCCTCGGTGTGCCCATTTCAGAACCAGCGCGGCTCAGGCTCCGAGCTCGGCTCTGTTCCTGCCGGCTGCCGGGACGAAGCACGGCCAGCCCCGGGCCAGGCCCGTGTCACCTGGGGACAGCCACCCTTGTGTGCCCACGCCTGGGGAGCTGAGGGTCCCTGGGCTCTCCTCACATGTGAAATGGACTCACGTCATTGAATGCACGTGGCTGAGTGCGCGCTGCGGGCAGCGCAAAGAGCTACAACATCCTGCTCAGATTCGGATACAAATAAGGGATCTTGTGCTCACAAGAACCTTCTTCAGCTTTAAAAATACAAAATTTGAATTAAAAATATTCAGAGAGTAAAAAATCCCACTATCTGATATGCAAGTCATTTTCTTAAAGTGCAACTGAACAGCAAATAACAAGTTGTGCCTTTTACAACCATTTTGATATAAAAAGGCCTTTTAACATTCCCTTTTGTGTATTTTGAATCAATTTGTGTGTGCGATGTTAGCTCTTTGTTTTCGTTCTCACTGCTGGAGGCCTTCAGCACAACCCAAAGAGTTTAGGGTTGGAATATGTGGGTTTTCTGTGCTATAAGGTATTACATCCTGAAGTGATCTCACTCTTCAGCATTGCAAAGATCTGGCAAATGTCCCTCAGCATGAAAGGGAAAAGAAACCATCTAAAAAGAGTCTTCAGGACTTTTTTTAGTTCTACAGCTCACATTCAATGACCTTCTGTTACAAGTTAGATGTGGTCCATATACCCAGTGCACAATAAAATGGACTGAGGCCAAGTCTCTGCACAAGACAATTTACAGTAAACTTTCCATCTTTTCTTCCCTCTTCCTGCACTCCAGCTTCCAGTTGCCCCTCAAATGCAGACTGTAAACTACCATTGCCAGTCTCACTTGGGCAGCAGGCCCTGCACCAGCAAACGGGAGGGAATTCTGTTTGTTAGAAATCCTGCTGGTAAAGCCAATGCTCTGGGATGCTGGAATGGCAGGTGCCACTTGCTAAACACACACAGTTATGAAGTAGCACTGCAGCTGCCTGTCTGTCTGCTTGGTTTCACGAGTATCTGGATTTAATTTGTAATGCCTTATGTGGAATAAAGGGAGAACACTTTGGGTGGAAAACACGGGTTTCCATAGTTAGCAACCAGCACTGCTCAGAGTCCCCATGGACACTCCTACCCATTCTCCCTCAGCCTGGGGCATTCTCCCAAGTCAGAGGTGAATTCAAATCATAGACCTTGGCTTACAGGAGACCCCTCTGAAGGAGGTAGAGAGCCAACAGCAAGAAACCTTGCAAACTTCTGTGCCAGGGCAAAAGACTGAAGGATGTTCAGCCCTGCTGGGGTGCCTCACACTGGCAGTGTCAATTCCAGCTGGAAGAGTCAGTAGGCTGTACAAATGTGCTTGGGAATGGGACTCCTTCTCAGAGACTTCAGAAAGCAGCCTTGGTACTCCTTGAACAGGAAAAGAACACAGTCAGCATCCCAAGGAGGGAAACCCTCTGGACACATCGTGTGAAGGATGGGACACATCCCCAGCACGGTGCTGCTTCAGCTCTGCAGGACAGGTTAAGGACACGGCTTGCCCGGGGAGTCCGTCCCACAGCTGAGCTGCTCAGTGCACATCCTGCTCATCCATCATTGTGTGGTGACAGTCAGGACCCTCCTGGCTGAAAAGCAGCACATCCACTAACTGGGCCAAAAGGAGCTTCTTCCAATAGATGCAGCAGGAAATGTGCTGGTTTTGTTTTCATGGAAATCCCTCAAAATGTATCAGGACTGTGAGGATCCCCTCTTTCAGTGAGGAAGAGACATATGGGATATTTCTACCTCACAGTTTTGGCTTTCTTGTTATAAAAATGTAAAATTTAAATAAATATAAGTTTGTTAGTCCAAAAGAGAGAATGTGGGATGTGGAAGAAAAGTATGCTAAGAACACAAATAGATTCTTAAACTCCATGAGTGCACAGGATTTTTTCATAGATGAAAACTCCTAGGGCAGGATGCATCCATGGGTACATAAAGGCTGCCCTTGCTGTGAAGCAGGGACCGATCCGCAGTAGTGTCTTTCTCTAACAGAGTTAAAACACTCCCTCCACAATCAAATATGTGTAACAATCAAATTATTATTAAGAACACTAATAAATAGCCACAGGTAACAACGTCCAGTAATTTTGAAGTGGAAGTTGTAGGATGCAGCAGGCACACACACCCATCACTCGTCCATTTTTTTCCTAAAAGATACAAAAATGAATCTTCTTTCAAGTATTAAAAAAATAAGTTAATTGACATAAAAGGGTCAAAGTGACTGAGGGCCCAGGCAGGTCTTAAGCTTTGTTTCCAATGTGCAAAAACAAAATACAGAGAGAAAAAAAAAAAATAAAAACACTGAAAAGTCTTAATGGTGGTTCGGTCACTTAAGGGCTTCTCCCTTTTAGGGGGCCTAATAACCAGGGAATGCTGCCTGGGAACACCCCTGCCCCAGCACACACTTACCACTGTCCCACAGCAGTATTTTCCAGTGTCAAAACAGTCACAATAAAAACAGAAAAAGGAAGCCCACCAGCCTCTGAGCTGTGGCCATGAAGACTAAGGCCAGCAGTAGCTGCCTCTCCAGTGTGTAGCAAAGCAGGTGGGCATCTTCCCTCTCTCTTCTGCTCCCCTTGTTCCCCACAAGAAGATTTAGGAGGCTAAGGTAGGGAAAGAGTCCACTGATGCCCACTTCTCTCCAAAAACCAAGAGGCAGAGAGTTCCAGCACACACAGCAGTATCTTCTCTGTCTTGTATTTCTTCATATCCATGCATAAGGATCAACTGCAGGTTTCTTTGGTGGGGAGGAAGACTAAAGCAAAGAAGGTGTTGCCCTGGGCTTCTGGAGCTCTCTTGGACAGCTGACTCCACTGCTACAGGCTGCTGTGGTTTTTCAGGAAAGGTTGCCACTTCCCTCCCTTTTATTAGAACTGGTGTAGTCAAAATGGGAAGGGAATGGACTGCCTTAAATCCAATGTAGTTAAGGGTACTTCTTCCCTTAACCTCCTTCCCCACACATGGATTATTCCCCCCTCCCTCCTACCACACACAAAACATGGTCCATCGTACAGGACCTCAAGGAGATTGCACAGTCTCAACTCATTTCTTCAACTTGGCTTGCAGACATGTAAAACTTAAGCTTCTGGAACCAACACACTTATCAAAAGGCTTCTGAGTGCTTCAAACCAAATCTCTGCATGCTGTTGGACCTTTCAGAAGTTTCCCCTTCAACATCTTCATATCCATGTAATTCTGGCAAACTCAGGGTAGGCCAACTGGACAACACAGACCAGCAGAGGTAAATGTGCTAAGCTCAGGACCAGTTCAAGCTAAAACCTTTGGAAAGCATGACTGCCTCCAGGTCCTTGTCTTCTTCTTTTTCTCGAAGCCGCTGCTCCTCAAGGAGAGCCACAAGGGAATCTCTCTGCTCCACTACTTCGAGCATTTCGTTCAGGATCCTCTTCTCCTCTGAGAGCTCCTCATCTGTCTTCAGATGATCTACAGAGATATCAAGATCTATCAGCATACACAAGGCTAGAGATACACACATCCAATCCATGAAATATTCCCTTTTGCTCTCACCTTCTACTGCCATCCTCTCACGGAGCTCCTGCTGCAGTCGACTCTGCCTGTCTTCCAGTTCTAGCTCCCGAGCACTAAAAGGAAAAGAGCAGAAATCCAAGTTCCAGATGTAATAAAACACTGCATACATTGCTTCATATTCATTCTCAGCTTCTGCTCCCTCTCTAGATATCTGCTGTGCCATTTACCAATCTTGTTTGGAACAACTCTTCAATAACTTAAGATATATAACTGTATATTTAAAAGCTTTAATTGCACTTTTAGCATTTCAGGTTATTTGTCTGAAGCTAGGAAGTGCAATGCCAAAAGTGGAGCAAACTAAATACAGAGCAGAGTCAAAGAGCAAATAAATCTGCAATGCCTCTACATATCCCCTGCTACTTCCCACTCTAAACCCAAAGTTACTTATTAACAAATTACTTATTACTTAAGGACACTATCAAGCTATTGCAAACACCACCTTAGGACTTTTCTGCCACTAAGGCCATCAGCTTCCACATTGCTAAGGTGAGCTGACACACTCAAATTAATTTCAGTGAATTTGCACAGAAATTCACTGAAACAGAATTTGGGGGGAACAGAAAAACCTCCCAGTTTCATTAACAGGAAAACACCTTTACCGTTTGAGCCCACGTGAGCAGCACTGGGGTCGCACTACAGGCAGAAAGGAGGGCCACAAGGTAAGGTGGCTGAATTAAATGCTTTTGGCTATGCTTAGAAGACAATTTTACAAAAACAGAAGGAGTCCCATGTTATTTCTGCATAGCTTGAACACACTTGCACAAACAGGATGTGTTTCATACAAGAACAGCATGAGAAGGGCTCACATACCTGTACTTCTGCATGTGCACAAATAATTGGAACTTTAATCCCTTACCACTATTGTTCTTTCTTCTACCACTCCTTTAAAATGTACTTGGGATTCCTGTCTCAGCCTAAGAGGCTGCTGACCTCCTGGCCTTACAGGAAAGACAATACTGACAGATCTTCCACTGCTATTTATGGCAAAATCCCCATTTTTTCCACATTCACTCACAATATCATCAGTTCAGACTCGTAGCGAACCAAGGCATTCTTCTCCTGCACCAGCTTGAACCACTCCTGCATCAGCTTGGGGTCATCCTTCTTACCCATGCCTGCCAAGAAAGAAACCTGGTAAATTTTCAGGTCACACCCTGCAATCCTTACAAGCCCAAACTGCAAAAACAACAATGGGGCAAAATGTGCAAAGAAAGCCGAGCAAGATGCTGCCAGAGCACTCCCAAGCCGGGTCCGTTCACTTTGCCTACAGCACTCAGCTGAGTGGAAGTCACCTCCAAAAGGATTCTCTTCTCTTTGGAGCCTACTTTTATTTTGTTTCTGATATTCTTGTGATTACTTGTTTCTTCCTCACTCTCACTGCAGAAAGCCCCAATTTCTATGAGTATTTAACTTTTCCTTTCATTAGAAGAATTTTATAGATGCTTATGCCAGCTATTGAAACATATGCTCATCAGAAAAGGATTCAATTGCCACTCCCTGTGTTTTACCTTTGTTTTCTTCAATTGCATGTCCTCAAGTTTTTATTTTACTAGCCAAAAGTAACATCTTGTGTCCTCTTTTTTTCAACAGTTAAGTAAATCTTTTCTGACTGCTCCTTCCAGACACACATACCTATTTAATCTTGAAGATCCCCCTGCACAATGAACACAGAAACTCATTCTACTCCACTGCATACCAGCACTAGAAAGAAAAGGAACCCCCAGACACATTTGCTAATATGAAAGAAGAATAAAGAAACCTTGGGCCTTGACCACCCAGTACAGAACTCTTTGCTGGTCCTTTTATTTTAGAACAAACTCCTAAACTAACTCAATAGTCCACTGATGAGTTTTGTGTCTGTCAGGAGTCATGTGGAATAAACGCAGAATGCTGTTCCCAAAGCCTTCTGTTGATATTTAGCAAACACAAGAACTTACCAAGGAGGCTCCTCCTGGCAAGCTCTTGGTCTGGGCCACTTATTCCACATTGAACCACCTGCACCTCAATGCTGTGATTTACACCAGACCCCATCAAGGCCAGTGGCAACATTCCTGCCTGTGTGGCAGCAGAAGCAGGAGAAAGGCCTCAAATCAGGCTGAGCAGCACCTCTGGATTGCTGCATCCCATCATCTTACACTGCACATGCCCTAGGCATCCCAAGGTAACTAACACCCCTGTCTCTGCTTGTTACTGTGGATAGCTACTCCCTACATAAGAACAAAAACTCTCAAACAGTCCATCTCATGCTAGATTAATCAAGCAGCAAGCTTGCTAGTCAAACTCTACAACACAGACACAGCACAAATACCACATTAATGGCTACTTAATTCAGACCCATACCACATTAATGGCTACTTAATTCAGACCCATAGCACATTAATAACTACTTAATTCAGACCCATACCACATTAATGGCTACTTAATTCAGACCCATAGCACATTAATAACTACTTAATTCAGACCCATGCCCTGACTCATCCTCAGTAGTCAGAGAAGCGCTGCCCTGCAGTTACACAAGGGAGAGCCTACAACTCCTAGTAAGCTGCAGCTTGGGCTGCCTTTGGAAATGTGTCATACCAGCCCCTGGGGGAACACCAGGCTGGGTTGTAGCACCCTAAGAGCCCCTGAGGACTTGATAGCAGTGTGTTGCTCAGTTCCAAGCATTCCTTTCTGAGCATCTCTGCACAATATGCCCACGTGGCGACAGGAGAGGGAGACTGTACATGCAGATGTCCAGTGCTGTGGCGCCATGAGAACACTGGGAAGTCTCCCCTTCCTTTCCAATGCCAGGATGTATAGAAAACAAATGCCTCTAAGAAAAAGCCAAAACCACAATGCTACTGACCTATGGAATACGTAAGTATTTTTAAACAGCAAATGAGTAGAGGAATAATGGGAGGACTGGAAAGGGAGCACTGACAACTGATGTGAGGGAGCACTATGGAAAGCAGATAAGTGGTTAGCAAAATTACACCATGAACACACATAAAACAACCCCTTCCCCATGCCTTGGCAATGGAAACTCTACAGCAAACTCCATTTGGGATAGTTAAAGAATGCACTCAGCAAGACAGATGAGGGAGAACTAGTCTAACTTAAGGTCTGTTGGCTTTTAAAGTTCACAGATGTTTTTCAAATCAGTCCTTATAAAGACACAGTATTCCTTTCATCCCTATATGCTAATTAAAAGGCAGTATTTAAGGAAACAGATTGTCATTCCCTTACCCCACCTTCCAAACATGTTTCAGGAGGAATAGAGTGATTGAAGCCACCAAATGAAAATAGAAACTTTAGTGTGTGACACTTCTGGTCCCACAGCTGCTGCCCATTGTCCCTCCCAGTCACTGCACCTTCTGTTGCACAGCTGGGACTAGCAAAAGGGATACTGTACCTTTAACAGCTTGCCACAGGCTCAGAGAAGCTGGTTACCAGGTAGCTACAGACAAGGCTGGCTTGGGGACACAGCAAGAAAAGGGCTGGGGGCCCTGTGGTCACTAGCTGACTAGTGCTGCTATGAGAACCCAGCTGTGGGCAGGAGGACAGGGGTGTGTGAGGTTACGTTACCTTCATGGGCACAGCAAGGGCAGAAGGAGAGAGGTCTACGACGTGGTGTCCCGCCATTGGGCTCAACTTCAATAGGACCAAACGAGGAAGAGGAAGAGGCAGGAGAGGAAGAGGAAGTTGGAAGTGGAACGGAAGAGGAGGAAAGGGGTGAAATAAAAGACAAGCAAAGGACAAAAAGCATAAGAGTGAGAAAGAAAGGAAACACAAGAAGAAAAAGAAAAGAAAAAATACAAGAAATGGAGAAGCAGAAACAAGGGATACAGTCTACAGATGAATAATGTCCCTAATAAGCACAGATAACAGGTAAGAGGTAGACTGAGGTACTGGTGAACTCTTACTGAGCTGTACAAACACCAGGCAGGAGGTTACTGTTACTGCACTTTTCCTGATGTACAGTTTTCAGGTGCAAGGTCTTTAACCAAAAGCTTTGTGACCCAGATGTCAGGAGGAGTAGAGACATGTATTTAACTTCGGCTGATAAATGTCAGATTTCAAGCAGGGTTGCAGTAAGTCTCACCAGCTGTAAGCAGCCACCCTACCTTCAGCTCTATCAGGACCATGCTCTTATCATCGTGGCAGCATCCACTGATGGTAAAAGTGTCCGTTGCAATGGAATAGAATGTCTTCAGACAGGGAACACCACAGGGAGAATCTGATTACCATGGAACCAGCCTGCCAGGGTCTGCTGTGTCAAGTATGGTGAGTACACAGGTACCCCACCAGACTGCTGTGCTTAGGGGGGAAAAGGCTTTTACACAGATAAAGTGGTTCACATCAGGGTCTGCAGGGGGCAGTGACCAACTGAGGACTCTGCAGAGTTAAACCAGGAAATTTAAAGCTCTCCCTTGGCATTCTCATTCCACAAAGCATTTCAAAGCTTACAAGTCCTGTTAGTACCAGCGACTTACTGAATCTTTATCATCTTTTCCATCAGCCAGTGGAGGACAAGGATTTCTCATCTCTCAAAAAGTTCAGCCCCTTTAACATCAAGAATTTGCTTTTCAGTGGTACTTAACATTACAGAGATAAACAGCAGGCAGTAACCAATGTCACTAATAGTTACAGGAGAACGAGCACCAGGGCAATGATGAACTCTGAAACATCAGAGCTAGCACAATGGAACACTTACTGGGCTCAGGGCACAACTGCATTTATAAAGAGGAGGCATTTCTGTGTTGGGAAAAGGCATAAACTCCACAACAACAGTATGGTAAGAATAACACTCATTTTGGAGAAGCCAGCAGAGTTTGATGTTTGTGGTTCACAGAAAGCTCTACAAAATTAGAGTACCAGTGGACTGAGAAGGCTTTAGAAGGGACCATCACAGAACTAGACCAGCACATGGATGACACACTGGAGCAAGAGGGAGAGCACACCAGCTTCAAAGCCTGTGACTGAGCAGCAGGGCTTTCTCAGAAGAAGAAACCTCTGCACTGGAAGGAGGAAGGGGCACCATCAGGAGAGGTGCCACAGCTGGCCATAGGACAGTTACAGATAAAGCACTGTACCAACAACATTGAGAAAGTACCAGAACATTAATTACAGCTGTTCTGAATTTTCCAACTTCTTCATTTAAAATAGAAAAATACTAAGGCTTTTTTTCCTACAACTGCCATTTCACAGATCAGATTACAAATGTAAAAACAAACAAGAAAAACTCCAAACCACAAAGGTATGGTGAAGAATATGCTTCCACACAAAGCAGAGCATTTAGTGCATGATACCTGTTAAATATTTTTTATTTCCCATCCTATCTTATTCAAATTAATTCTTTAAGCTAAAAGCTTCAATACTCTAACTTGGTCTAACCACTGTTTTGAGGGTGGCCAGGGAGATGGAGATTTAACTATGGAAAAAATCCACTTCTTTCAGGGCTTGAGATTTCATTCAGAACTGAGGGCTGGGGGGATTTGATACATTTCAAGCCATGAACATAGGGACTTGAACATAGGTGAGGAACTTCCAGTTTTCCATATTTGAGCTGAAAAGGAATACCCAGTATGTGAAAATGTCATTTATCTCATTGTGAAATGGCCACACGCTGCTAGCTTTGTCAACAGCAAGCAAGTGGTCTGATATCCCAGCTTTGGTCTCCAGTAAAAAGCCCCAGGGATCACACAGCACCTGACTAATGCAGAGCTCACTCCCCACAACTGCACTTTCCTCCCCTGCTCTTAGTTATCTTCCCACTCTTGTCTAAAGAAAATTTGTCCTTGAATCAAGTTACAAAGTCCACGGTATCTACACTAGTCCTGCTACTAGAAAAGTCAACATGTTTTTTTCAGTAAGATAATAAACATAACCTTTGCAATTAAGATCCTTTCTAGCTACTTTAGATGTAAATTACAGTTAATTAAATTGGTAAGTGCAGGTTATGATCATTGCAATTACTTTGGAAACAATTTCTGTCCAAAGTAGGATGATTAGCAAGGCTTTAGAAAGTCTTCCTTATGTATTGGAGGGTCCTTAACAGCAAGAACAAAGTGCAACCTGAAAACTTACTTCCCATGGTTCTCTAAAGCTTATTTTATGGCTTATTGCTCCAAAAGCCATTACTAATCCTACAGTAAAATAGTATTATTATACTTATTATTAATAATATTATTGCATTGTTTAGAGAAGAGAAATCACCACCTCCCAGTCTCATTAAATTACAAATAGGATCATCACTGCAAGACAATTTTCCTGGATGTGGAGCCAGGGCCAGATAGAGTAAAACCCATTTGTCGTGCAAATTAGAAAAACCTCAACAAACCTAACCTCCCTTTCTGTTTAAATCTCCTTCACCACCAAAAATATACTGACATATGTATTCACCCACAACATGGACAAGTTCTGGCAGCAGCAACACCCACTGAAGCAGTTTGTTTGGAAGGAGCTGAAGGGCAAGAGAAGAACCATTTCTGTAATCTCCCCTTCTTAGGGTCCTGTGCTGCCAGCACGTAAGGTGTGGCTATAGCCTCTGGACAGAAAATTCCCATTTTTTTCACCAGAGGCACAAAGCTGCCAACAGACTAATGTTAGTCACGAGTTGCTCCCTTTCAGTGCCACAAGCCAACTCTTCTTTTGTGCAAAGCCTTGCAAATCAGTCCAAGCTGCTGGCAAGCCAGAGCATGGTTTGGAGGCAGAAGCTGCAGCTTATTAAGGAAAGGAGTTCTTGAACATTCTCAAGATGCAGAAGCTCTGCCTTGCACACCAGACACATCCCATCAATAAAGTGACTGGAATTACTTTGCTTCTGTGTAAAAAAGCCACAAGATTGGCCTTGTTTGTCACAGTCCTCTTGAGAGACTGCAGACTTCGCTACAGTGGCGGAAACGAAGAGCCAGGTGAAGAATAAATACCATAGCTTCAAAGTCTCTTCAAAACAAGGACCAGAAATTGTACAGCCACTATGTTCATTTTCACTGCACACTGTTCCTTGTTACAGAAGCTACATTGGACTGTTGCATTATTTTTTACTTTTTATTTACCTGTTGATTAAAGAGCAATTCTTCAGTTTGGTTTTGTCCTTTTCCTCTCTAGCTCCATAACACTTCTTCACAATCACAAGCCCAGTGGTCAAAATGATCAGGATGAAAAAAGCACTGCACAGAGTTTGGCGTGGCAGACCCCCTTATCCCAAGCTGCAGCCCACTGATCCCCTTCACTGTTTGCCCCTGTTTTTTGATATAAGAGCTGTGATGATTTCTGAGAAGTGGTGAGTCACTGCAAGTTAAATTTACTTGAACAGATATACCACTGACCAAGTGGGATCACATCATTTGCAAACTTTGCATCCAAAGCCTTTGATTTCTATATTGTTGACTAATCACAGTGGTTTGGAAAACAACAACAATGGACAGAAAACCCCAGCTCTGAGGCCAATCTCAGTTCTGTGGAACTTGCCCTCACAAGTTACAAGCATGACACTTTGGGAACTTATTCTGCTAACAAACGCCATCCCTTTATTTATCAGGAATATTGAAAGCTCTGATTTTAAATCAGTGCCTATAAGATGGATCAGTCCAAAGGGGATCAGTAAGTGAAAGGGCACTGATCATAGTAAATGTCCTCTTTTCCACCCTTAAGAAGATCAGGTTATGATCAGAAGCCCAAGTACTGAAAAAAAAGCATTCTAACTTTACTATTTGGTGAAGTTGTTCAACAGCAGTGTTGTTAAAAACCAGAGATACAGAAAGTCAACTCTTGCAGAACAGCATCCACAGAACTGCACGCTGAGAGCAAGGATTTTGGCAAATGTCCCAAAAGCACATCACAGTTTATTAAATCTGGGTCAAACTCAATATCCTCTATAGTACAATCACTAAAAGAAACCTGGGGAAAACTCACAGAGAACCAGATTGTCATGCAAACTGAACCACTTTGATTTATCCAGCAGAAAGGGGTGGGGGAAAGGCAGGGAAGGGAAGGGAAAAAATGGGGAAAGCAGTGGTTGGAGCAGAACACACACACAAATGACTCCAGAGAAGTGTTCTGCTTCTACTAGACCTTGAGGCACTTCAGAATGCACTCAGAATGAATGCAGTCCTGCACTGCCCCTGTCTCCCAAGACTGTTTTTGTGTGCAGAAAAAAGCAGGTAAATGGCAATTGTCTAACAAGTACTGGTACTTAACAGGTTCTGCTTATCAAGTGCTCTTTCCTGCTCAAAATTTACAGCAAAGAAAACAAGTTACCAATTCACTTCAGAGTCAAAAACGGCTGCAGACTGCAAAAACAATGTTTATCTTACAACTCCATTCCCCTTTCAGAAGAGCTGTGTTTGCCAATCACAAGAAATAGGACTGATCCCACTTGAATATATCAGGCTCCAGCCTTGCAGAGTTAGACCTGCAAGACTTTAAAGGACATAGTAAACTCAAATGTTTTAAATAAGTTTTAAAAAAGGTGAAGTTGTTGTAGAGTGCGCTTTAAATAGAGTACAAAGATTTTTTAAAAAATCCAAACAATTGCACTTCTCTGCCCTGTTTACCTGATGTCATAAGGCCCTTGTCAAGAAGTGAAAGTGTGTGAGTGAAATCAACACTATCAAACATACCAGCTCTCTTCCCTACATCCTTCTTGCCTCTCTTGGCATCCTCCAGCCAAGAAAAAAAGCATGATGGGAGTGTGTGGCTGTTTATTTAATGATTTCCTGTGGGTGCAAGGAAAATGAAACTGCTCACTTGACGACAGAGGAAACCATGGAGGTACTTTCCAGAGGCAGACAAGGAGCTACTGGGTTAGGAGTTGAGGCTGGAACTAAGGAAGCAAGGTGACTAATGGAGAACTGACAAAAGAGAGGAGAAAAGGGTAAGGGATGAAAGGAGAAGGCAGATTTGAGAAGAAGGCAGGACCTAAAACTTATTTGTCCACAGACAAATAATGTTGGGCAGAAGAGGAAGCAGAGCCCCAAAATTTTGGAAGTCCAAAGGCTGGGATTCAGACTGTGTCAGTGGGAAGACGAGACCAGGAATAGCTAGTGGAGAGAAATAGGATGGCTGAAGGGTGGAATGCTAGGATTTCTTTGTCAAGAAGGCAGGATTAAAATTAAATGCCTAAGAATTAAAATGGAAGTGGGGTAAGGAGCTCTGGATGAAATAAGACAGGATCAGGACAAGGACCATCTCAAAAGAGGGAACAAAAGGACAAAGAATATATATCCACCAGACCAATGCATCCTTCCACTGTCTGGCTCAGAATCCATATTTTTCAAGTCTCACTATTCCACAGCTGCCAACAAACATCTATAAAATCCACTGATTGTGCCCCATTTCCTCTCCATAAGGATCTACCCAGAAGATGACAACCTAGTGTTGCTACCAGTTATTCCATAAGGACATGATACAGCTCTCTGTGGTGGATCTGAAGGTTATAAATCTGTTGATATATCAATATAATATAAAGTCTTAATTTCAGTTGACTTTGCAACCTTTGTAATGTTCTTTTAACCACACATGCATACAATATACACACAGGAATAATTACTCAGAATTGAAATGTGACCATCTGCAGCATGAAATGAAACATCTGCGTTACAGCAACAGTACAAAACATTTCAGAACAGGAAGAGAGGATTATGACATCTGAGCACAGCAACAGAACTAGTTAAGATAGCAATCTGTAATCCTACACACTGGAAGTTGACCAGGATGTCAGAAGTTACCACTCCCCTTGCAGAAGTTGTGCAATCTGTAACAACTAAATATTACCAGTTTACAGATAACTTTCCAAAGTGCTTTGCAATTTTTGTTAATATTCTAGAATTTTGTTAATATTCTATTGCCATGCCCATGCCTCAGAGACATGGGTTGTTGATAGAATAATTAGCTGTGCAGCATCCAAGCTGCCTGCAGGGCTCAGCAGAACCTCCAGGGATTTTAATGGCTCTCTAGCCAGACATGTTAATAATCTTGAAGCTGAGCTCCGTATCTGCCACTTGAGCTGACAAGTTCACCAGAACAATGTATCCCTTCTGGCAAAAGTGTTCTGGCAGCCCCAAAAGCAAATATAAAGCAAATTACACGGAGGCAACAAAATAATACTACAAAGCCACATACTCCAGGCTATACTGGCTCATTGCATTTAAAGGGATACTGCCCAATATAGTTTCTTTGAAATTTGTTTTGAAAACAGTGTTTTTGAGACAAGCAGAAATTTGATAGAGTTTTCAGATGTATCAACTGTTTTGAAAATAACCATGAATATTGCCTCTGACTGCTGGAAGCCCAAGTGACTGAGTCATCACACAAATAAAGCAGCCTGTTCAAAAATGACCACTCTGAGGTGACTGAGCTCAGAGAAACGGAAGAGCAAACACGCAGGGATAAACAAATTCCATTTCCAATGAAGATTTTTTGCAGCACATTGAATTTTTTTAAGTGACAGTGTCCCTTTAAGTGAAGACTGTTTTGCTTTTCTTAAAGCACTATTAGTGTTTTGGATGGGATGGCTGTCTCTAAAGAGGCATTAGGAGCAAGGCAGGAGGAGGGAGAGGTGTAGTGGAGATAGCATTAAACAGGGATAAGGGTTTGTTAAGTGTGATTCAGCATCGACCCTTTTACAGCTCCTACTCTATGCACATCATGAGTATGGGCCAGCCCTGGTGGATACAGGGGAAGAGGATTTCAAAGTCTCTCTGCAGGAAATAGCCCAGGAAAGAAAGCCAGAGGGACTGAACAGTGAATGAAGCACAGGGCCAGCAGAGGACTATCACACCAAAATTAGCACAGGGGAACTGGGCAACAAGTCAGATCTAAGGAAGAAAGTCTTCCATTCTGAAACTTGCACTTGGGTGGATATTCTGAACTCAGGTGGATGTTCTTCAATAAAAGTCTATTGTGCCATGAATAATTCCCAACGGGTAGGTACAGGAAGATACTATGTGGGACAGCCTCCCTGGAGCAGGAGAAAAAATGGCTGTTAAAAACCTGGGCAAGATTATATTTAAAGGATCAAATACAGAACACAATGAAATCAGGGAAGACTTCCAGGGATGTGTCCTGGATCAGGCCTAGAGCGTGTGGATCTCACCCTCTGCAGAGCTGGTCTGCAATGCAGTCCCTCAAAAAAACACAAGATCAAGCAACTTCCTACTCTGAAAGGTAAACTAAAAGAGACCCTCAGATAACAAGGCAACTGAGCAGAGTTTGCTTTCTATTGGATCTGCTGACAGACGTGTTCACTTCATAAGAACAGATTTTGGGTGGTTAAACTAGCAAAGGAAATTTTAATTTTCAAGATAGGCAAAGGATAATCAAATGTCATTTGCAACCTTAAAGTTAATCCCCTACTGAGGGACTCAGGAAGTAACATCAATTAAAGCAAGGGCAGAACCATGGTATAGAGTGATGACCAGATTCTTAAGTGAAAATGAGAACTAAACACTGCAATGTGTGTTTAGCACTAAATGGGGTATTAAAGCAATAGCATAGCAAGAGGCTTAATAGCTGTGGAGTGATGCAAACCGGACTCCAGCAAAAAATTACCGGAACTCTTTACAGCAAATTCTTTTTTAACCTTACAGTAAGACAAAACAAGAAAGAAGACATATGTGCCATCTGCAAATGTTTTCAAAGTCCCTTGAGGGAGCATTTTTGTTTTCTTAGATCAACAACACACTCTGGCTATTTTGGAAATAAAAAACAAGCCTCGGAAGGGCAAGACGGAGGCAACAGTATGACTAATCCTTGACAGTGCTGTTTGCTCTGCTGCCCCCCTTAAAATACTTTCCTAAAGAAAACTTCAGTGATAGAGTTGGACTTCTCAAAGAAGAAGCAAAAAACCAGAATCACCTTCTACTGCTAGTGAGGAAGGTGGCTGGAGTGAAAACAGTAAGCAAATTTATAAAAAATCAGCACTGTGAAAAATAGAAGAGGGAGCCTTACACACGTTTTGTGGAACATGCCAGGATCTCCTGTTCCTGAGCTGGAAAAGGGGTTTTGCTATCATCAGTCATGTACAAGGGCTGTTTCTTCTTGTTTGTGAGGCAAGGATGGGAGAAGTAGGTGAAGGGAGGGTGGGGAGGAGTGTCAGCAGGGTTAGTGTCAGCAGGAGGTTCAGCCATACATACCACCCAGATGCAAGTCGATGAGGTCACTGTAATAAGACTCTCCCCAATAGTCTACAACAAGGAATTGGTGAAGACAGAGTTATTGAGTCAGATACCCACCCTAGCCCCATACCATCAAAGCAATATATGAGAAAGACATAGAAACAAAAAAAGGGCAAACAAGAGACAGGCAGCTACACACATGGGCACACACACATACATAAACACTGTATGTCTCTTTCTCTGTATTTATACATATATGTACACACATAAATATATCACATAGACATTGGGAAGATGAAGAGAAAATTTCCAGAAGGCAGGCTGGACTTCCAAGGGGAAAATGAAGAAGTTTACACAGAGACACTTCACCTATTTGTGTTTGCAGCAGTACCTGACACTGATGTCTCTCCTGCTCTTGCTGAGAAAAGCAGAATTAATCCTGTTGCTTTGGAGCTGAGCAATGTGTCAGAAGGGAACTGTAATTTCTTAGGACAGCTGCAGGAAAGCTGTAAGGGTTGATTTTCTGGAGGTGAGTGAGTGGAGGATGGAGTGTGGCACACAGGTGAGGCACTGACTGAGTGCTGACACGGATGGCAAACACTCAGGTGTAGGAAGATGGGATTGTGTGCTCCTGCTGATGCAGTCTCTGCCAAGGAAGAACTGCACAGCAGTTTTCAGGACAGAGACGTGCATTCCCACAGCTGCTAGAGACAGGGGCAGCATGAGTCTAGCACTGTGGAACACTTTGTTGGGAGGAGACAGATGGAAGTATTGAGAGCAATATTTCTCACTGCATATGATTCATTTGATGTAAAAAGGTGGCTCTTAAACTTTTCAGAATTGATCTGACAGGAGATGTTTTCCAAACTCTTAAAAATGACTATCAAGGTTTATGCTAGAGGGAATAAAAGAAAGGTTCAGGAAATTTCCGATTTGACATATTTTTAAGTTAATGATTGACAAAAAAAAAAATCACAGAGGAAATCCAAGTCATTAGCATGTCCAAACAGGCGAATGCACTAGAATACAAATACACAAATATGCAAATACACTCTAATACAAAATACTGCTGCATTACTCATATTGTATTACGTTAATTAACTCATTCAAGGTGTCCCTTGGGACACCACAGAAAACTGAGAAAATTCTTCATTCATGATGCAATAGGAAGGGGGCAGGGAGGGACGGAAAACAAGGGATGACGACAGTAGCTCAGACCACCTGTACACCTTTCTCTGAAGCAGAGCTTGCACTGCCACCCAAAATAGAGCTTACCCTCCCTAAGCATTCATTCTTGCTCTGAATGCAGCTATCAAAAGCTGAGATTTCCAAAGATAATCACAGAGAACACATTAAGGCAATAGCTAGGGAGATTTTCTGAATCAGAGACTAAATGTTACATTGAGCATTCAGCTTCTGAAAGAATAAAAGAGCAACTGTGCCATGCCTGTGGCTGAGCTAATTTTAAAAAAGAAAAGAAGGTAGCCAAGAAGACACAATTATTTTGTCAGAATTAAAGTAGATGGTGACCTCCAAAATGTTTCTGAGTTTGATTAGTTGAAGAGCAAGTATGACCCTATAAATATTCCACCTTGACAAATAGCAGATAATGTGTGAAATTCCTGGAAAGAATATTGAGTTGCCTGTATCTATTGCTAAGATCAAAAGCTATAATGTGTCAAGAAAACAGCAGGCCATTACTGTGAAAAAATGATTACCAATCTTCTCAGTATAAGTTTCTTGCCAATAACATATTAAGGATGATGCAAAATGGATAGAAAGCAGAAACAAAATTATTATAAGTAAATAAATTTTTATCTATAGAACTGGTTTTTGTTCTTACCAGTTGAACTGAAAAATGCTTTTTTCTAAAAATGGAAAGTGGTCCAGATGTGAGAGATTTGAGGAATTAAAGTTAGTGGAAGACCTCTACAAAAGAAAAATTTGCAAGATGGAAAGATGACTAAGAAGCAATAGTTAGAAGATGATAAACTACATAGAGAACTAGTTCAGTTGGTCTTGTCTTCTTCTATAATAGAAGAAGAAAAGAATCATTGCAAGTTACTGAATTCTGTTTCTTCTGTCTGGATTTTTAAGTAGTAAGAAACTACTATTAACATTACCTAAAATTCCATATTTAAATGCTGATCAATAAGTGGTTTTTTCTTTCACTGCATGGAAGGAACCTGAAAATCCCACTCATTACAGAGCCTAATACATTGTCCTGGAATACTGGCTGCTGCCTATGAAGAGCCATTATTTGGATGCTCTACTGCAATCCTTCTCTATTTATGGGGAAAAAGTAAGTGCACAGCAGACACATCTCCCAAGTTCCCCCATTTTTTCTCCTTGTACTACCTTATAAAGAATTTGGGTTTTTTTAGATGGCAACACCACTTTACACACTGCCTTTCCCTTTTTGAACTTTTGTTTTCATGGTTTCCTTAGGGGAGGGACTGATCAGAGACAGGAGCATGACTCCACACCTTTACACAGCAGTCCTTGTTGATGTAGTGGCCACTGTTTGGTCACAATGCAGATGACAGAAAATGCTACTTCCCTCTTGAATAATTAGTGGATATTGCAAGCAGAAATAGCTTTATGGAATGTGATACCACAGATCTCAAAAAGAAGGAATTCAGTTATTTTTATTGCAAACATGTAAAATGTCTGGAAAAGAAGAAGCTGAGGGGAAACCTTATTGCTCTCTACAACTTCCTGAAAGGAGGCTGGAGCCAGGTGGGGGGTGGTCTCTTCTCCCAAGTAACACAACAGGAGGAAATGGCCTCAAGTTGTGCCAGGGGAGGTTTAGATTGGATATTAGGAAACATTTCTTCATGGAAAAGTTTGCCAAGCCCTGGAACAGATTGCCCAGGACAGCGGGAGAGCCTCCACCCTGGATGTGGCCTTTTAGGGACGTGGTTTAATGGTGGGCTTGGCAGTGTTGGATTAATTGTTGGATTCATGATCTTAGAGGTCTTTTCCAACTTAAATGATTCTATGGCCATGCAGGAGGACCTAGAGAGGTGAAGCATGGAATTGATTTATAATCTTGTGTTTCAGTCAACACAGATTAGAACATGCTCGTTTTTCCCCACTCCAACAGTGTGTTTCTGGGTAATCCCCTGAATTAGGGGGAAGAATTTAGGATGGTGAAATCTTTATGCCAGAGTTAAGCTTCTGCAAACATATGACCTGTTGATAGAAATATTTTGCAAGAGCAAAGCATAGCCTAGGGACTTCCTTAAGAAGAGAGATCCCTTTTGCAAAGCAGGACCCACAATTTCACAGTTCTAGGAAATTCACAAATACACAAGCTCATCTAAGACTGCTTCCATTTGGGAGAGCTGGGAGTGAGAAGCTGTTTATCCAAATTCTGCAGCGTCTCATACAAAATTGTAATTCTTACTCTGTCCTCTCTGAATGTGTTTTAGGCCTTCTATGATTCTTCAGTGAGAAAACTCTATAATGTATAATATTCTCTCAGCTGCTAAGATTTCTCACTTGTGCTGGCATGTTTACATCAAAGTCATTCAGCAGCTCAATAATCAAGATTATTTGAACTTCCAGATGACAAGAAGCAAAATGAAAAGAACCACTGAAACAATGGAGGTGGCTTTAGTAAGTCCAGTCACTGGCAGGCCAGAGAACAGAGTGGGGCTAGACAGGAACACACAGCATAAGGAAGGAGGCAGCCCCTCAAAGACAGGCATTTGCACAAGCCTGTTTTTGATCCCACAAATGAATAAAGACAGCCTGATCATATTGAAGTCCTCAAGACTGTTCTTCACACTTGTAGTACCTATTTGCTTTGCTGAGCACTCAGTCCAGCTTCTTTGGCACACCCTTGTAGAGCACCAGACATGGCTAATTTTGGGTGAGCAGTAACTGGCAGGAAGCCACAACAGACTTCTTCTCTGGTGCACCCTCACTGCTTAATCAAGCTCCATCTTCAGAGACATAGATGTGGCTCTTCAAGCAGCAAGCAAACATTTTCCAAACATCTGTTCCACTGTTGCCATTTCTGAACTCTGACCCTTGTGATCAGGTACACCATCCTGGCCTTGTCAGGTACACACACACTGCATTTGCCTGTTGGATATTTGACTCCTTGCAAATTGAGGAGTTTTTTCCCAAATCATTATACTACTATCAGCATTATCTGAACCAGGTACTTCTCCACTGATTGCCAGATCAGATGATACTCACTAAATTTAATTTCAAGTACACAAAGCATCTGTTTTAACAGCTTGACATGGATACCTTTCAGTACACATGTGCATTTCTGCTCTGCACAACTTTGTCAGAAGTAGCCAGTGTGCTGGGCTGTGCAGTGAGGAAGATGTTCTGTGATGGTCCCTTGTAAGGACACTATCTTGATAATCCAACACAATAGAGAAAGCACACACCATTCCACAATTATTTCCTTAACATACAAACAGGGTTGTCTCACTGTGACAACTCTGTGTGAATGGCAGCTGCAAAATTCCTGCAGTTTTCCATCTGTAGGATCCAGTAGTATGCACAAACAGCCATTAGTAGTAGCTGGAGAATTACCTCCTACACCTCAGGCAAAGGTAAATGATCTAAATCTCTGCCAGTAGGGAAGTCCCAGAATTAGAAGAAACACAGGAAAAACAAGGTCTCAAAAAGATAGCAGAAAAGGGAGAAGGGATTCACACTGGGACCAGTCTCTAGGCTATAATGGTCCAATTGCCTCTAAAATCCAAACAGCTACAGATTTCTGCACAAGCACTTGGGAAAAAAACATGGAAAACCAAACCAAGTTGTGATGGATACCTGCTTCTCCTCGAAGGGCCTTCTCCACAGCAACTCCTCTCTCCTCGAGTTGCCTCTGCTTCTCTTCCACTTGTTCCAACTGCCGCTGGATAATCTGTTCAGAGAGGAACGGAACAGAACTCACCAAAGCAATTCTCCTGCTCTGGCTGCAGCACACAGCCAGCACTAAGAGGTTTCAGTCAGATTTGCCTTTTCAGAAACAAGTATTTGTATTCAGCAGCACCCTGCTTTGTAGCTGCAGCTCTCTTCATAGAGAGCAGGCAGGAATAACTTCCCAAGGATATTTCCTGGGAATCGCAGCAAGGAACATCAGAGAAAGAGAAAAAAATTCTTATCTCTACTTGCTGCTCCTATTATTTTTGCACATGTAGAATGTGTTAGGAAGATTATTTACCTGAAGTGATTTATCAATTAGGTTCTACTAGGGATTATTTTGATTCCTTGGCCTATTGGGTCAAAGCTGTGTCCTGGCTGCCTAGAGAGAGTCATGGGTTTTCCTTTAGTATTCTTTAGTATAGTTATAATATAGTATTAATGTAGTATAGTATAGTTTTAATAAAGCAACTGTTCAGCCTTCTGAATCAATAGAGTCAGATCCCAATCATTCCACACACTGGAGACTCCCTACATTCAATACTGCTTCAACAGCAAGCATCACAGATTCCAGTGGCAGCACCCTCCCCACCCCATTGTATCTTAACTCTTAAATTTGCAAACACCTTGATATTCATTTATTTCCTACAACTCCTATCACCTGAACACTGAATTGAAAGGTGATGCTACTCAGACAGCTGAGTCCCTGCCTTGAGTCTTTGACAAATCCCATCACCTGTAGATGCTGTTAGCAGTTTTCCAGCAGACTCTCTGGTAATAAAGGTTAATTTGATAACACATCACCCACCAGCATACCCTAGCAAAGCAATGATAGGTGCAGCTCCATCAGGCATTATGTGAGTATCACTGCTCATTCAGTGCATGATGGCTGCTAGAAAGGTGCTATGGACATTATTTTTCTCACTGTAAAACTCTCATGATAGGTTTCAGCCATCCTTCACTTCTCTGTGGCATGACATGAAATTTGAAAGAGGGAGCAGGAGCGCTCATGTAGAAAGAGAGGATTCTGTTCTGATACCCTCAGAGGAATGTCAGGATCAGGGTGCTGTCACACAGAGTTGTCTGTGTGCCATGACAAGAGGATTGTGAGACGCTACCTGAGCTCTGTGTAACCTCTTTAGCTCCTCCTGCTTGGCTTGTCTGCGGGCAGCTTTCTGTACTCGCCGCGTCAGCTTGGCGTTCAGCTCCTCCTCTGTGTAGGCCCTCTGAAGGAAGGAAAACAGTAGCAGATCTTATTTACATGCTCAGGGATATGAGGGCAGGGATGACCATTTTCTCTTCCAAAAATCTCAGAAGGGAGGTGTTCTGTCTTTGCCATGGCTGTGTCAAAAGTCAAGCTTCTGTAGGCAAAGGTGTTCACAGTGCAGTGAGCAACAATTTCAGGATCAAATCAGGAGTGAAGAAGCATTGAAGCCAGCTGCAAAGCTGTGATTTTATATGACATCCCACCCCTGCCTTCCACTGCTATATGAAACCTCTTCCCAAAGATCAAACCAGTTTTTATTCTCAGTAATTTTCATTTCTCAATAAATTTAGCCAAATGGATTTAGATAAGTCAATGAGTGCCATGTAGAGGGTTCATCTTGACAGGAGTCCCCTTGATTTCATTTTAATTAGAGGATAAAGGCTTGTCTAAATGAACAGTTACAGCAGTGTAAGCTAAGAAATTACTATAGACTAATGTAGAATATTGCACCACCAGAAGCCATCCAAAAGGGGAAAAGCTATGTTTATAGAAATAAAAGGCTATTTCCTCTTATTTTCTTGCAGTGAAACTAGTTCAAGAATATGTCTTTCTAACATTACTGAAATTTGGTTTAGGATCTTACCAGATACACTAGTTGGATATAGCATAGCCTAGAAAGGCTTTCTCTCAAAGAGATTTAAGAGTGTCAAAAAAAACTTGACAACTGCACTAAGTAAACTACAGTGAAGAAAAAGCCTCCTTTCTCATGTACATGTATGTAAGCTTTAAGGGGCTGCTGTAAACATGTGTCTTCCACTTCTGGAAAGAGATGTCCATGGACAGTCAACTTCAAGAACAAAATGCTAAGTCAGACCACTCTGAAATTTGCTTGATTTAGTTATTGTGCTGCCACATTGCTCAGTCTACCTCTGTTGATGGTTCTCAGTGAACAGAGTTTAAGGTAGCATCACAGCTTAATTAAAAATCTCTCAGGTAGGTCATTGGCAAGCACCACTATTAAAGCCTCAAAAAGCTCACACTTTACTTGTTCTTTTTTGAAAACACAAATCCACGATGGTACTCAAATTAGAAGGTAAGGAGACAGAGCACATGAACTTTCTATCCCATGTAACACTGTTGTGACTGCAAAGACAAGACAATAAGAATCTCAGAAAGCAGCAACTTCTGCCTTGATTTTAGCTTGATACAGAATTTGACTAAGATTTGAGCCAACTCAGCAATTTTGAAAGCTGCTGATTGAAGTGTGATGATTCATTTGAACTCACATTCGAAGCATTAAAAAAGAAGAATATACAAACATATTTAAGTACCTTGAAAACCAATTTGTTCTGCAGCTCACAGACAATCCACATCACTGCACAGTGGTGCACTGATAAATGCATGCATTCCAACCAGACATTTCGGAGCTTAATGCATTTTTGGGAGACATCCTCTACAAAGAATTTGCTGCCCATGTCTGCTAACATCTGAGGCATGCACAGTCAGTGTTGATGTTAGTGCACATGTGGTTGGAGCTATGGATTCAATGGGTTAATGTACAGGGGGACATGCAATGCAACAATGGCCAACTAGTGGGAAGGGAGACACTACCTTTGACGAGTATGATCTCTTGAATGCCAAGGCGTGTGGTACATAGATCGACTTTAAAGGGGGAATGGTAAAGGGAGAAAAATAAAAAAAATGCACAAAATGAAGCAAAATCAGTTCAACATTGAAAACAGATGCACAGTAATAAAACAAAGTGGTTTTTACATGAAACGAAATTGTGCAAATGCTGAACGTGACCCAGACTGATGGAGCACAATGGAACTTCTGGCCACAAAATCCAGTTTCTAGCACTTTCCTGAAGGCAATTTGTTTTGTCAGCCTCCTTGAAGATACAGTCAACTAGGAAATACCTTTTTCTAGAGGAATTATTTGGCCTTTGTTTACCTGTATGAGTATGAAATTCTGGCTTAAGATTTGGAATAATAGCTTATTTCTGGAACATATTTGGTTTGAACTGGCTCGGCCAACCATGTATTACTCTGTCACACAACCCTCCATTTACATTCTGATTTACAGTCTCTCCCAGGAGTTGTGTTTATTCCACAGTTTTAAACTATCTCCATTTCATAGAAATGATAATTAACATTTAACCAACATCATAACTCTTCTTCACTGCTTTATGAACTAAGAGACACCAGATGGGCTCAGAGTGGGTTATGTGTCCTGCAGTAATGGAACCTCCTTGTCTAAAAGGAGAGCCTCCAAAGATCTTGAGGAGCTAAAATTTGAGAGGGAAAGGAGCAGGAAAAGAGGGGGAAATCACTACTTACCCTAGCCAAGGACATTCTATGCTACCCTGTACTCAAATGTAAGGCAAGCGAAGCACTTAGCTTCATTTGCTAAGAAGGGAGGTAAATTTCCCTTCATGTACATAAAGTCCAGAAGGCATTGTGCCACTCTGGGCAAACAGACAGCATTTTGCACTCTCACATTTAATTAACTAAAACCAGTCACAAACGAGAAGCCAGAGAACAACACCAGCATGTCTGCAGGCTCCAGGAAAAAGCAAGCTACCTGTGGTGGTGAGCACCTGAGCACAACACCACAGCTGTACAGGAACAATGACAAACACACACATGGTGACAATACACCTACAAACACAACACCCACGGGGCGCTCACGTCAGGAATTCTTTACAAGATGCTTCTCTTGAGAGACACCACATTAAACAACACTGAATTAATTCACTGCTGATCACAAAGAGCAGGCTAAACAGAGCAGGCTGTCTGGGAAGCAAGCTCACTACATTACCAAAAAAGCAGCACAAACAGGACTTCAGTTTGGAGAAGGGGTTCACATAAAAGTTAAGTAGCAAACAGTAACTCAGCTCTTACCCATATAAAGTAGCAGGCAGGTTATAACTTAAAAAATACAACTCCCACCCCAAACCAGTACAAATCCAGCTTGGTCAGACTGAAGTTTGGTTACATTTCTTTTGACATCAAGGCATTCCAGTGTTTGCATGTATATTCTACATCCTTGAATAGGATGCAACAAAATGAGGTAAGTCAAGTTTTCAGATCCATATCCTCTAAATAAATACATTCTCAAAACTGTTCTTAAAAGAACAGATGCTGAGTATATAACTTCTTAATGTAACTTCAGCAACAGCAAATGAGTAAAAACGAGGCACTACCACCTTGACAGAGCTTGTGAGATACTTTCAGTATGAGGATTCCAGACATCTGCCACTGTCACACATCATCCCCTCCTGTGCTTAGAGATGTGATCTGTCTTTCTGCAAAAGCCATTTTAAATCTAAGTACCCCAGCATAGGAAAAAAATGACCATCAAGGCAGACCAAAAACTCTGTAACTCTTATCTGAACCCCAGGTATTGGGTATCTGTCCTCTGCTGGCCCCAGGTACCTCATTCTTCTGCATCTCTTGGAAAATGCAGAATTTCTCATGAAACGCCTTGAGGGCATGCAAGGGGGAATGGAAGGGGGAGAGAAAAAAGGGAATAAAAGAAAAACAAAATAATCTTCCTCTCAGATGAGATCTAGACCAACTAGGGAAAGAGATTAAAAGAGAGATAAGTAAATACAGAAAATTCCTATTTAGTTCATCAATTTCTTCCACCAGCCTTAAATTCATTCATTAGCTATTCTAGTTCATTACACCATATATAGTTAGAAAGCATTTCATGTGGCACTTCAATTTGCAGTACTTCCACACCTTTGCCATCTCAGCCAAGGGTCAGCTTGGCATCTGAGACTGATTTGTACTCATGGGATGAGAGGTTTGGGACAGGAGGCACAGGCCACTGTGCCTGTGGCATTTCCCTCCCAGAAGCTCTTTTCTTCTTGAGCTTTTTTAACATGTGTACCAGGCACCACCAGGAAAGAACAGTGGGAACATAGTTTTCATTTTGGTGTACCTGAAGAGCCTTAGTGTTCTGTGGGGTCAATAAAACCTCTACATATTCCTCCAAACCTTGCCAATTCTGTCTAGCAGAGCTCAGAGGCTCTCAGGAATGAAAGCAGGATTCTTCATTACTTTGATCAAACAGTTCCTTAAATTATTCCCTTGTTTTTGCATTAATAGTGACATTCTAAAAATAAATCAAATAATTTAAAAACAACTAGCTTTGAAACTTTGCTTTCACTATACATTTTCCATATATAAATGTGTGCAATTAAAACAAATTCTTATCCTAGATCCTTAGGCCAGTAGGGAGGGTGCACAGCAAGCTCCCTACCCTGGACTTCAGGAGAGCAGACTTTGGCTTCTTCATGGATCTGCTTAGTGGAATGCCATGGGATAAACCCCTGGAGAGAGGAGGGGTCCAGGAAAGCTGGTTAACATTCAAGGATTGCTTCCCCCAACCTCAGGAGCAATACATCCTAACAAAGAGGCAACAATGCTGTGCGGATAAACAAGGGGCTCCTGGACAAACTCAAACAGAAACAAGTCTACAGAGGGTAGAAGCAAGGGCAGGTAGCCTGGGGGGAATACAGAGAAATTCTCCACACAGCCAGGGATCAGGTTAGGAAAGCTAAGGCCCTGACAGAATTAAATCTGCCCAGGGACATCAATGGCAACAAGGAAAGGTTCTGTAGGTATGTCAGTGATAAAGGAAGACTAGGGAAAACATGGGCCCCCTCCAGAAGGAAACTGGGAACCTGATTATCCAGGATATGGAAAAGGCTCAGCTGCTCTAACTTTGCCTTGATTTTCACCAGCAAGTGGCTCCAGGCACAGCATCCCAGTCACAGAAGTGGCTGGGAGAACAAAGAACTGCCCATATAGAACAAAGTCACATTTGAGAACACCTAAGGCACCTACAGGTGCACAAATTGTGAGGGAACTGGCAGAGAAATGGCCTAAGCCACTATCCATCGTATTTGAGAAGTTGTGGCAGTATGGTGGAGCTCCCACTGACTAAAAAAGGGGAAACAAAATCCCATTTTTAAAAAGGGGAAAAAGGAATACACAGGAAATTACAGGCTGTTTCCTTTTAGTGCCCAGTAAAGTAATGGGAGAGTGAGACAATGGATCCTTCTTAGAATAACAGTGCAGAGCAGCTTGTAATCATGGAAACAAGTGAAACCATCTTATTTTAGATAGGACAGTCAGCTGACTTACAGGAAAACCTGCTCCTTGGGAGAAAGAGTAAAAACAACAGCATTAATCACCTAGGTTTCTGATGTGATTCTCTGAGTCTGTGATCTGACTGGTGCTAGATCCATCTAAAATGCCTTTCCCACCTACATACCTCTCGTTTGGATTTCTGGGAGGAGCGTTCCAGAATGTCGTCACTGGAGAGGTCGGAGTCCTCTGAGAAACTCAGGTGCTGACGGAGCTGTAAATCTGCCAAGTTGGGAATAAAAAGGGGAAATTAGAGAAGTGGCAACAATCCTTTCTGTAAACTCTTTGAGCTCAGCTGTAGGTTGTTTGGTTGAGCACCAAAAATACTCAGTCCTTTCATGTCAGTGTCCATTATTTTGCCTGGGAGGGATCAAAGAAACCCTGCTCCACAAAATGACCAGCATGAGTTTGAGCTTTTCTAAGAGTGCATCACTTCCTCCAAATGCTGTCAGAAATAATGATCATGGCTCTCTTTTTGTGTTGTATCAATGCTCTTAGGATAGATACAGCACTTGGAATGACAGCAGCTGGCTCTATTTTGGCTGTTTGTATATGCCAGAGAAATGTAACATGTTTGCTTTTAATCACATTTATGGGTAATTTCTTTACTGTATCCCAAGTTGCCATTAAACATCTCTGCCTGCAACTGGTAGGCATGTGAAAGATTTACAGGAGGCTGCCAACTCCCTCCTTCAGAGATCAGCAGACAGCCACCAGATTACAGGAATAATCTCTGCAGTCTTCAGCTTCTGTGGAGCCAGGTGGAAAGAAAGAAGAGAGATCAGACATAGAAAAGATGAAAATCAGGTTTAAAGTAGGGATGAAATGTCACAAATTCCAACAAATGATGCTTATTTCGCAAATCTAAGACATAAAACAGATGTACCTTGTACATATTGAGAATTAAGCCTTTAGTTAGAATTCAATTTTTTTTTTTCAGTGGACTCTGTAAATATGCAGAAACACAAATCCAGTCCCTAGCACTTACCCCACTCTGCCCATCTGACACTGAGGAGCAGCAGCATTCAGCAGAGTAACTGAACAACAAAGCAAACCAAAACTTTCAAGGACACCTCGTAAAAGTAGAAGTGCACAGTGCAGAGGCACTTATCTGTTATACCTGCAGCTGTAATCAGTGGAGCAGAGGGTTTGTGCTTGCCAGAATCCACTGTGGCATTACTTGAGGGAGTACTTGGGCAAGATTTCTCATCAGCCTTTTTCTTCTTGTCTTTCTTATAGCCAGAGAAAACAGACTTCCATAAGGACCTAGGCTTTGTTGCTTCCTCTGTCCCACCACTAGATTTGTCAGAAAGTCTGCTATCGTTTTTAGATTTCTTCTCCTTTTTGTTCTTACGAGGGGAGAAGAGGGAACTTCTTTTCTTACTCTTCCCACTGGAGCCTTCTGAAGAGCTGACAGACCCTTCAGGCCCAGCCATGTCAGCAGGAGGAGTGGAGTACTTCTCAGTAGCAGAATAATGTTTTCGTGCGGACCCCTCTGCTAATTTCAAGGCCAAATGTTTGGGAGACTCATAAAACAACTCTTTGGTCTTCAAGGGCATAGAAGACGCCTTTCGTGCCCTTGTGGCCCCACCAGCAGCTGGAGCAGCAGTCACCTCCATATCTTTCATCTTACACAGCTGTTTAGCCATGGCATCTCGTAGTGCTGGGCTCTTGACAGACTTCTCTCTGGCTCTCATTCTTTCTTCAGCAAGCTCCTTGGCCTCCACAGAAATGTCAGGGAACACTCTCTTCTTGTGGTGAGCCCCTCCTTCCATGGAGGGTGGGCCACCATTCTCCTTGACCAAGGGCAAAAGATGTGGTTTCTCTGGCCTTGGCCTGCTGGTAGGAGGTGTAAAGAACCTCTCGTGAAGGCTGGAGTCCTCTGTCCTGTCATCGTACGTGTCCTCCACGTCATCAGCAAACGGGATTTCATCCACGCTCTCCGCGAACGACTTCCGCACCTCGTCCCTCTTGGCCGGGGGGGGCTCCTTGGCAGGAGGGGCTGGCTCCTGGTGTCGGGGAGCAGGAGGGGTTGATGCTGGTGTTGGAGGTGACCTGGCTTCCACCTCATTCTGCCACAGTGCCTGGTACCTCTTCCTGCGCAGCGTGGCCGGCTCCTCGTTCTGAGGAGGTGGTGGGGGCGGGCTCGACGGGGGAGTTAGCATGGTGGAGTCGGAAGTGTTGAAGCTCTGGCTAGCCATGGTTCTCATGTTAGATGAGCTCTCCTGAAGGCCAAGCCCAGAGCTGCTGGACACATCTCCCCGTACTTCATTGGAAATCTTTAGCTCTTTTTCTGACGGAGATTTTGGAGTGAGCAGAGAAATCTGCTCATTTTCTAACTTGGATAGTCCCTGTCTTCTTGGGGCAGGCTGCGGTTTCACAGGATGGATCCTTTCATCCCCTGAAATATTCCTGCTATTGAAAGTCTTCTGAGGAGTTGCCTCCAGAGCAGACACAGTGAAGTTGCTCTCTGAGCGTTTGTTTCTGTCCACGGGGGTGAGCCCCAAGCTCCGTCGGATTTCAGCACTCTTCATCCAGAACTCTTCCACGAGGCTGCTCCGTTTCAGGGCTTCTTCTGCAGTAGTGGGGCTCCCCAGTTTTTCCACCTCACCATCCTGGCCCCTAAGGGCCAATTTGGCTAAAGGAGTAGATGTTAAGGCTGGGACAGGTTGGAAACATACTGGAGGCTCCACTGGGGATGGAATGGATGTTTCAGCAGAAGGCAAAGGCTGGGAACAGATAGGCATTTCAGCAGATGCTGGGGATGAGGCCAGTGCTGGTGCTCCTGGCTGGGACTCTGCGAGTGATGGGGGTGCAATGGCTTCTGGTGATGCAACTGGCTGGGACAGCACTGGAGATGGTGGCATCAAGGGGCTCTTAACTTTCCTGTCTTTGGGAATTTCATCCTTTGGTCTTTCCTCAAGAATGAAAGGCTCAGGAAAAAAGCGTGGCTCTGGGGATTTTATTGCACGGCTCGCTTCAGCCAGGGGATCTTCTACCTCCTAGAGGAAAATGAAAAAGGGGAATGTTAATAGTCACTTAGTCACTGAGCATGTGAGAATATAATTCCTTTTTTTTTTTTTTGCTTTTCACAGAGCTAGATAAGGAAACCATCCAAGTATCAAAATACTAATTTAATGTCCCAAAGTCTGCCTGCTAAACAAAAACTGCATCTGACAGAATCATTAGATGGCTATCAAAAAAAACAAGCTTTATTTTAATAGAAAGTGAATGCTGTCAGCAATTGCGTCAGCAAACCAGACTCGGCCCACTGTAAAAGTAAACCGGTCTATGCCAAAGCTGTCCAAGACAATGCTTTAGCAATTCCTTAAAAAAAAAAACCAAAACAAAACAAAAACAATTAGAAGGGAAAATTTGAGTTGAACATTGTAAGGGTCATGTGCTTCCAGCTCTTACACACTGCAGTACACTTGCAAGCTGACAACACGACAGTACAACATGGACATGCCTCACTTCCTTAAGCTGAAGTATGCTCAGCTCTGGAACAAAGAAGCACTGCTTTGGTTACTATTGTAATTTTCAATTGCAGCTGCACAGAATCTGTTTTTGGCACATCAAAGACAGCCAGACCAGGATAAACAGGAAACACCTTATTTATGGCTCCCTCCATTTATCACATATACCTGTTGCTAGCTGCTCACTGAGATTAAAATATCCTGTATAATTCTGCCTGGGGCTTTGTGATGGGAACTTGTGTGGTATGGCTGTGATAGAGTCACTGCACTCTGAAGACAGGAAAACAGATAGTATACATTATATTTTAAGGCTAATGAAGTCAGATTTCAAGATCAACATAAATATTAGAGTCAGAAAAGAAGGAGAGCCCCCTGCTGTCAGTCCTCATTATTTATTCAACAAACTGTTTTATTGAACTACAGATGCTAAGTAGAAAATGTCAAAGACTCCCTTTCTTACCTCTGCTTGTTTTGCTTTGGGACTAGCAGCTGGAGACAGAGGAAGAACACTCTCACTAGAGGGCTGGATAGGGGTAGGTGGCTTGCATGGACCTAGGGAAAGGAAAAATGGTCCAAAAATACACAAACCATTAATACTCTATCATTTTTTAAATGTTACACGCAACAAGTAGTGACAAATTTCTCAGCTTTTTACAAATTTTAGATTGGACATCTGGAATACAATAAAAATTTTTAAATGTCCAAAACAGTACAAGCTTTTTAATAATAACTTTTACAAGAAAAAAACAGAACAGTTCTCACATTTTACAAAGCTGTAATTAATGGACTCAGAACATTCTCCTCAAAATGTTAATGCAAGCACAGATCTTGCCACTGAGAGTGTGAGATGGTTCAAATCCAAGAGACTCTCTTCTCCTAACTGTGCACTCAAATGCAATTAATATCATTCAAGCACTAAAGAGAAAGTGATTACCTTCTTCTGTCACACTGTGAGAAGCACCTTCTGCTTCTTCTTCTTCTTCATCCTCAGACACTTTCAGCTCTGCCCCTTCTGCACCACTCTGACGTAAGCGAAACTCCGCTTCTGCATCAGAGGCGATGTCTGATCATGCAGGGAAGAAACCAAGAGAACTTGGATACAAGTCCATCAGGGCATAATGTTTTCTATTCACATGGTGCTAACCATTTTCATAACCACAACACTTAAATGTTTGCTCCTTTTTTGGTGATAATTAGTCATTTAAGCAGTAAATGTAAGCAGTAAATGATTGGACTGTTAGTACAAAGAGCTAAATCAGTAACTGAAGTTTCTCTTATCAGTTCTTGGGAAAATTTTCCATGTTTTCTGCCATATGCAGTTAATTTTACAATAGCACAGAAAGCATTCCGACAGTATTACGGACCTTTGACAAATTTAATTCTATTTCTGTTATTCATCAGGATTAGTATTGAATACAGACACAAGACATGGGGTGAGAGGACATGAGAAATTCATTACATAATCCAGGACATTGAGGTTCTTCTCTTTCTTTTTGTCCCTCACTCCTGGCTCCCTCTCAGATATTTGAAACAAACTCCCACACCTCTAAAAATAAGACCAGGTTTAAGTACCCTCATGCAAAGTTCATTGCCAATACATTCTGTTCACACAACAGGTTTAAAGGCTGCACAGTGGTACCCTACCATCGTCCAGCTCTGCACCCGTGTCTCCCTCTTCACCTGCCTGCCCTTCTGTGTCTGCAGGCTCTGTGCCCAGCTCCTCCTCCACATCATCCTCCTCACATGGAGCTAGAATATATTCAAATATTGAGGGGAAAAAGAAAAGAAAACAAATACTACACAGTGAAAAAGTTCTGTATTGAACTGCACCAATAGTTTATACCAGAGATGTTTATCAGTTACTGTCAATACAAGAAATCCTGAAATGTGTCACCTGGAGAGACATCTATGGTGAAGTGACACTTCCAGACTCCAGTGAATCAAGGAATGCCTGCCCTTGGGAGTCTCCAAGGCAACTGCAGTGAAAGCTGCCAGGGCTTTTCTGAGAAACAGGTGTTGTGAAAAATTAAACAAGAAGGGGACTGGGAGGACATCAAACCAGAATAAAAGTTACTGTTCTTCCAGGAACATTTTGGGGTTTTCTTACCACAACAGAACAGTTACCATCACTTGATACCATATGTGTATTAGGTCAAAACTGGAACCTCACAATTAACCAGGACTGTTCATCTTGGAATTGAAACTGGCTTTGAGGGTGTAAGTCAAAGAAAGAGTCTGGGTATGGGATTTACCATTATTGCTCTTGGAAACTGTTTAACTCTGTGCAGCTACAGCAGTCTTTGGTAATAAGGTCTAAGAAAATGCATATGCTGTACAAGTGACTAGTGCACAAATTGAAATACTTTGAAGTAATTAAAATGACATATATAAAACCTTTTTTCCGTTACAGATCATTAATTGAGACACTTTTAAGTAATTCAAATTACTTATTCAAAACTTTTTTTTCCATTTACAGACCACTATTTGATTTACTAGGTCAAAACAAAGAAGAGATTCTTGAATTTGTAACTCTGAAAACTATGACAGCTGACACTACTGCTTTTGACAGCATTTAATTACAGGAGGAGAGAAGATCAAAGTGTGGAGTATAAATCTCATTATTAAATGATACTTAAAAAAACCCACTGTGCAATGGGTGATTTACTGCTATTTTTTTTTTTTTGTTAAACATTTTCATTAAACATAATTTAAATATTTCAAAAAAGTGAGCACTTCCAGTTCCTGATCCTTTTTATTTAATAGTGACGATGTGGCTCTTGGAACTATTTACATCATTGCACTGCTAATTAAGGCAGTCTTGAAAACAAACCAACCCTCCCTAAAACTGAGGTCTTGCAGCCTCTCCTTTAATACAGGTTTTTGCTTATTTCAAAAGACAGCCTTTAGCAGCTGGTTTGTCTTCTTCCTTCAACCTGAGAATTTCCTTTTTTCCGTGCTCTGTAGTGAGCATGGATTAGTTCATTTTCTGTCAGCTACTGTGAAATGCAGTTCCACTCATGTGTGATAATGTACTGGCCTATTCCTTTACATCAGAGGACTATCAAATCCAGACCCTTACCTATGTCAAGCACAGGAAAACTGAATCATGTGGAAAAGGCTGGAGTGCCCACAGGAGCATTTATAAATCTATTGAACAAAATCAAACCATGTCCCAGTCTGATCATTGCTTAGGTATGCAATAGCTTATGTTATTTTGGAAATGATAATGTCATGAACGGCTTTATGGTAACAGCAAATGTGAGTAATCTTAATCAAAATTTGCAAAAAACATAACTAATGTTAAGAATATCTGAATCCAGTATGAATTTGTGGGTCTTCAGATTCAGAAACCATGAATGGATGTGACACACACGGATTATGTTGGAGAGAGAGGAGAAAATCAGGTTTTAAATAGGTTGGTACAAAAAACTCAATGGTAAGATTACAGATGCATCAATAAGTAACAACTTGGTGCAAGGGTGGATCCCATTCTGAGGGACACAGGAAGCTTGCAGTGGCTGGTTATATGATACATATACTGTGCATATACATATATGCAGTTAGGACGAGGAGCAAGAGGCCAAAAGCTGTCACACAATAACTCAGAAGTTACACACTACTGCAGCCAGAAACTGGGATCAGCACTTGGTTCATATTAGCTGGCAGCTGTGAGCAGCCTGCATCGTGTGCAGACACCTTGTAAACACTGCTGACTTGCCAAAGCAGCAGCAGAAGCAAAGTTTTAAAGGCAAGCTGGCTATTCTGATGTGGCAAAGCAACTCAGCTGTAGATCAACTACCTAGCACAGACTGCTCCACTAATTCAGACACCTTCACAGCTTTGCACAATGTACTCCCTCACTGTCATCCCAGAATCTTCAGGCTCGTCCATTTCTAATAGAGCTTAGAGGACCACGCAAAATAAATGAGCTGAGCTCTACCATCCTTCAGCATTCCTGAGGCTTTCCTGAATAATGTGAATGCCAAGTCAGAAGAGATACAACACCACCAGTATTCCTAAAGATCTTAAGTTCAACTTATTCCTCTTTGCAGTTTTCTCCACCACATAACTACAGTTTGCAGTTGCTACAGAGAAGTGCAATTGCTTTAAGCACTCTCTGTCACTTAACCTTTCAACTGCAAGAAAGCCCCGCGTTCTTTGAGTCTAAGGGCTGGGGGAAGAAAACCTGGCTCCATCTTCAGTTGCCCAAGCAAATCTGAGCGCTCAGCTGGATCCCTCCTGCACTGCTGCCCCCAGGGTGAGCTGTCCTTGGCCTGCCTGCCCAGGGTTAGGGTGAGAGTGGAGCTCATGCGAGAAGAAGGGGCTGCCTGAGCAAGGCGGACATGCGCGCTCCCCGTCCCCCCGCCACCTCCACTCATGCAGTAGCGACAGGGCCGTAAGTTCCAGGGTTAAAGGACCAGCTCAGCGGCTGAAGGCACGGAGAAGAGAGGGGCAGGGTTATTGTGCATTGGAAGACATAGAACATCACCAAACTACCTCCAGGGACCGTCTCCAGCCACGCCTGTACCGCCTCATGGCGTACGGAGGGAAGGTCGGATGCTGAATTTAAAAAACAATAAATTGCAAGAAGTCAAAATTAGACCAGCAGTCAGAGTCTAAAACAGAAGAGTGACAGAGGGAAATTTTTCAGTAGCAAATACAGGAATAAAACCTATGAAATTTCAATCACCCAATTCCAGGCTTGAGAATTAAATTGAGATAACACACAAGTGTCAGGGGCCTAATCTTCCTTTGGGATCTGTAATGTTAGAGGAAATATTCCTGCGTGGCACAGCGAGAAGAACACCACATCTGACCAGCAGCTGCTGCTCCCCTTGGAACTCTGCAGAGGAGGGAAACTGAGAGAAGGAAGAGCTGAGCAGTGAGAGAGGAGTCCCATGTGTCCCAGAACCTGCAGCCCAGCAGAGGAAGAAGAGCTCCCAAAGCAGAATGAGAGGGATTTCTGGGAGCTGTGGCACTGTCCCAGGCTGTCACATCAAACCTTATCACTGCTGCTGCCAATGATTCTCCAAACATCTCAGATCATGGAATACAGCTCCTCAGCCAGGAACAATCTGTCTCTTGAACTCAGGTTGAAAACTTACAACATTGCCACAAACAGATGTTGGCAACAGCCTCTGACATACCCAAACTGCTGAGAACACCTGCACACACCTCTGCCATATGACAGAGCAATAGAAGCAGCTAATTATACATCAAGATAGTACTAGATTGGCCCAGTTTCAGGGAACAGAAAGGAAATACTGACTCCCTTCCAAAAGGAATTTGGAAAGATCACAAAATCAGTTTTGGAAAGATCACCTGTTGCTGGCCACTGTAATATCCCCCCATAGAAAAGTAAGGATTGAACTCATGATCTTCAGATTATGATAACAAAATACAAATTAAAATAAAAATCTGGAAACGAGAGTGACACAGAGCCCAGGTAGAAGCACAAGTAACCTTAATTGTTGTAAACTTAAGAAACATTGTAAACATTTTTTACTTAGTGCTTTTTGAATGTTAATCAACCACTCTAGCAATACTGAAAGTTACAGAGTTGGACACAGCTCATTTATGTGGCTGCAGTGGGAACAAAATACTCATCTCTTATTTGTAGGGAGCTGATTTCACGCCAGAAAAACCCAGTGCATTCTACAAACTGCAAATGTAAGTATAGCCAAACTGATCTGGAATTATGTATCAAGCTAGGCCAGGATTAAAAAAGCTCCTATACCAAACACCTAAAACTGTAAGGAAAAGCTAATTATCTGGAACAGAAAAGAATCAAGTATCATGAGGTAGAGCTCTGGATTTTTAACCTAATTTCATTTTTTTCTGAAAGACACCTCTTCTCACAGCAGATGTACTCTCTCTACAATTGTGTCACCATGGCTGCAGACTGAGAGAACACTACTCATCAGCTGCATGGTAAACTTTGATTTAAGCCCACAGATAAAGCACTTATGACATACTTACCTTAAGTCACACTGTAACATAGCCTAGAACAAGGTCAGCAGGGACTGCTGGAAGGTGCTCACGTGAGATCTAGACTATCAACATTTTCCCCCTCCAAAGTTTGCCTTTGAGTAACTGACAACTTGCACATTAGAGGTAGATATACTGTCAAGTCTTAAACACAGGGAGTCAAACCCACCACTGATCAGAGTTGCAAGCCCTTTGACTCTCATCATTCCCTGCTCATACCAGATGCAGTTACATACTTGGAAAGGAAGCAGCAGAGGAACACACTCGATACAGAAGATGACCCTGTTCAGTCTTGGCTCTAGTAGCTACACAACACAGCCCCTCAGCTTTCCCTAAAAAGTGTAGCTTTCCCTGCCACAAAAAGCATGAGACTATTAGTGTATCTAGTCAGTTACAGAGGGCTGATTGCCAGCACTACCAAATCGTGTGTGGTGAGGAAAACTGTTATGGAGTCAAAGCAGGCAGACAAATAGGCCAGAAGTCACACTGTCACAGAGCTGAGAAAGCAGCAGTTCTAAACAGACACCGACCTGAAAAGCAAAAAGTTTAACCAAGTGTAATTTCAGTGCAATTTGAAAGCAGCTCCTTTCAGTCACTGCTGCCCCTGCTGAAGTCACTGGTCTTGAAGGGCGCAGAAGCAACAGAGTTAAACAGCTGCAACTGGGATCCAGGAACTGCTGGTGTGGGACTTGGGGAGATTACCTCTGGAGGTGGAGGACTTTGAGGCTGAGACCATTTTTTCCTCCTCCTCTTTCTCACGGATGTGTGTCCAGTGCACATCTGCCAGGATCTCCAGAGGATCAACCGGATTTACAATCTGCTGCAGCCTAAGGTTTCCAGCTAGCAGGAGGAGGGCATGGCGTAACAGGTTGTAGGCAGGGTGTATGAAGGGCAGGGAGGAAAAGATGGGAGAACAGTGGAAAGGAAAGGTAGCACATCATAGGAAAGGAAATAAGAAGAGAAAATATTATTGGCCAAGGTCAGTTTGCAAGACAGACAGAAAAAGCTCAGCACTGTGTGCGCACGCATCCACCACCACAGCTCCTCACGCCTCCCATCCAAGCTGAGTCACGCCATTCCAAGGGCAGGGGGATGCCATTAAAGCATCATCAGACATCATGTCTATTGCAAGAAGCTTTGCTGAAATGAAAGAAGTTCTCTGGGTGTCCAACAGAATGTGGTATGTAGATACCAATTTAGCAGAAATTCCCAGCTCCTTCAGCCTATTTGTTATGATTATTGCCAAAGATGTCTTGCTCTTAAAGGTGAGGAATAATCTCCACCTGACTGATGCACCAAGACAAAAGATTTTTTATTTCCTACTATTGGGCTAGGCAGTTCTTTCTGGTCTGGGTACACACTTTGTGAATTAAATAATATGATGGATCTGAGAGTTTCACGTGTGTATGTGCGTATGGGCACATGCTAATTTTAGCACCTAAAATCATTTTGTTTACTCCTGGCTCTTTTGCACTGACTTGTTCAAAGGGAGAATTTTTTTTCCTGAAGGATAACAGCATTTTGGTTGTGACTTAACAGCTCCCCAGAAGGGAATTCCTGTCACACAAATTATTCTGTTTAAGAGAAATAGCATTACTCTTCAATTACCTGCCTACACAAAGCTCAGCTACTTATGGAATGTCAGAGAGAACAATGGGCACCTTAAGCAATTGATGAGCTTGTTTAACTTCTGCAGAACACCTGCCCTGGGAGCACTTACTCTGAGGTATTAAATTTATACACCCTGTCTCTATTGCTGTCTGCTTTGGTTCTGTAACTCAGGCTTCATTATCCATAACAAAAAAAACTGGTTCTGCAGGGGACAGGTGTTCACCTGTACACTGTCTGCAGGAGTGGTCTTCAAAAGCAAACATCTCAGCCTGAAAGGAAAATGCCCACTTACTTTTTAAAGTAGCAAGTCAATTTTCACAACAACTGGATTACCACTGAGTAGGGCAAAGCACTGTTGCAGCAGTTTAGAACCTCAAAAGCAGTTAGATTTTCACATGGTGCTCTAATGTTTGAAGGAAACAAGACACATTAGCAGCATTTAGAGCTTGCATTCATAATTTCCTGCTGTCTCATTTTAACAAGTTCCTCTCTCCCAGCCATGTTTTTCCCAGACATGACAAAGTGTTTGGGATTTCCATTTCAGGAATGACTATGTGTGAGATTTGGCATTAAAACCGCAGAAGAAACAGGCAGAAGGAACTGCAGGAAGGACAGAATCAGCAGATGGTCATTAAAGGGAAAGGGGCTCAGAGGCACAAACCCAAATGCAGAGCAGGATTCACAATGTAGCCAAGGATTCTGCAGCTTTATGTCTCTGTTGCCTCACCAGAATGTTTTTGTGTCAATGACACAACCACCAGGGCTGCCAGAGGCGCTGGCCATCCTGCAGGGACAGGAGCCTGGGCTGTCCCCGCTCCGTCCCAAAGCGCTCGCATGCAGCCCCCAGGATGAGTAGAGTTAGCGCTTGCACCAACACACAAAGGTCTGTGTTAAAAGGTTTAGGTTTGCCAGCAGGGGCTGAGAAGTACAGAGTCACTCAGCAAGGCTTGGAAAGAGCAGGTCCCACATGATCTGCATGTTTTCAAGTGGATTGCTCTGGGATTATACCACTGTAACCTTTAGTTTTTCCACAGAGGCTTGAGCCTGTCCTGTCTCTCTCACCTTTTCCAATAAATAATGAGCAGCACAGCCAGACATGAAGGGCTGCTGCTTGGCCTAGAGGCAAACCTAACACTTCTTTAATGTCTAAGGGCTTGAGAATTTCAAACAACACGTGGCACAGCCTTTCCTCAGGGCTGCCTGCTCAGCTTTGCAGGAAGCTGAACATTAATTGCACTTAGATTTGGAGTGGTAGCTTTCCTCCATTTCCACTGCAGCAGCAACACTTTATAAGCTGTGGGCAGGCTCAACGTTTTCACTTTATTGGCTCAATGTTTTCACTTTATTGCAGTAAGGAGCCACTTGCAAACCAACTCCTTATGAGTCAGGTCTGAAGCACCTTGGCAACTGCAACAGGGGGAACTTCTTCAGGTATTCCCTTCTGCCACCTGACTAATACTTCTCATTCTTATCACAGAAAAGTTAGATGGCAAAAAAGTTATAATGCTTCTTCCATTTTTTTTCTCTCTTGGAAAGAAAAAAAGAAAGTTGGAAGCTAAGCTACTGTTACTATAACCATCAGCTGTAAAATATGCAGTTTGACAACTGCATATGGCCCCTTACATGCAGGAAGGCACTTGGATTTTCCTCTTACATATTCTGGCTCTGATGAACCACATTGAGGGAATAAGGGGTTAACAAGCTATTGGGACCATGTGTTACAAAAAACCCAAAAATAAACTGCAAGAGACTGCATCATGGAAAATGACACAACCAGTTAGATTTGAATGTCTGATTAATTTTATGACTATTATGTAACTGCTTGAAGAATCTTGAGGGATTGCTGCAGCTTGATTAGTTTCCTTCCAGACTCTTCCCCACAGACAGACACACACACAGAGGACAACAAAAAAAGCAACTTTGCTGACACAAGCAGTCTAAAGCAGTACTTCTGGTGTGTCCCATGTGTCTGAGATAATGCACAGGTGCAAGTAGTCTGCATGTGTAGAACAAATCTGATACTCCTTATTACCTGGAAGTCACTGTTCATGCAAATTACAGCAGCAAAATTGTCCAGGTTTTCTAGAAATCCTGAGGTACTTGGCAGCTTTTTCACCTTCCTAAAACCAGTGTCAGCAACAGATCTGATATATGGCACTTGAACCAGGAGATGAACAAGGGCTACTGAATCAGTTTTGAGGGAGCTGGTAACACAATGCAATAAAACACAGAAACTCTTCATGTGGGACCTGCTCTTTAATACCTTCCCCTGGAGGTGGAGACAGTGTACGGGTACCTTTATGTGTACCCGAGTCCTCTTCATCTGAGAGACGTTGAAGCCAGAGGCCTTGCTGCAGCTCTCTCTCCCAAGGGTTATACTCCCCCTCTACAGCAGAGGGAAGCACACATCCACATTTAGCACCAGGCACACGTGTACACACACAAGCCATGGAGAGAGGGAAAGAGAGAAAGAGAGAGGACAGGATCAGAAAGAGAGACTGCCTGGGAATGCTGCAGCTCCCCGTACTCCCGCTGTGCTCCAAGTGCCCGTCAGGAAAACTGCTCGAACGAAACAACATCCATCCAAGAACACCACTGCTCAGCAGGCTGAACACACAACATGCATGTTGCCATACTCATAAAGAACTCTTGGTTTCCACAGACTGCACTCATGGACATTCAACTCCTAGGTCGCCAAGGAGCCTGCTGAGCTCATCAACGACACCGCCACTAAAACTCAACACTGGACCTCTGCTGGCAGTAGGCAGCCAAAGACCTTTACAAAAAAGCTCTTTGGAGTCTACAAGTCTCCTCAAAAAGGAAATGTGAGTATAAAGACAAAGACAAGAGCAGTGAGAAATTTGGCATGGTGGTGAAACACTGGAAACATGTCTATTCTGAGCACAAACTTTGCATTTTGATGACTGAGACAAACACAGGGGAAGGAGTCTTTCCCTAAGGTTTTCCACAGAAATCTTTCAAAGCTAAAATGGGAACTACCTGAACTCCCATCAAAGCCATCTTTTAACCTGGGAGAGCTACAAGCACCTTCTTGTGGAATGCCCTGCTGACAGTGACAGGGCACTACCCCTCAGTGAGGCACTCTAAAACTGAAAACACTGCACCCACAATGCTTCCAGTTCCTGCTGCCAGAGAACAAAGGGCACATTCAAGTCTAATTCCAAATAACTATAAAAACCAACCATAAGGCAATACAGCAGCACAAGGCTGTGAATTGACATGCTGGCATGGTGTATGGGAAGCATATTGTGTGAGTACTGGTACTCTAAACTGTCCTGTGGGCAAAGTCCTTCAGAATCCAGAATGAACCACCTTGAGCTTTCCTTGACAATAACTCCCTCAAAAACCAGAGCAACAAAGAAGCAAAAGAAGAAGTAAAGTTTTCCAAGGCAAATCTTTCTTATTCTGCAAGTCAAATACTCAACTCATTTTTCCCTGCTGGCTGGCAGAAAGAAAGGATGAACCAAGCTAACCTTCACTTGACTCCTCATCTTCTTCCTCTTCGTATTCCTCCTCCTCATCATCATATTTGTACTCAATCTCATGATTTTGCTCAGCCTCAATCTCTTCTTCACTCTTTCCCTTCAGGAGGGCGTGGATACGCACAGCCTCTTTCCATGGCACACCACCCAGGTCTGAAGGGGGTTGCTGTTCATCATCTTCCTCTTCATCTTCCTCCTCCATCTCAGATTCTGAACTACTGTAAGATTTTAGAAAAAAAAAAAGATTATATTGCTAATAATAAATAATAACATTAAAGATTATGAAGTCAATGTTCTCTTGATCAGTCTTAGATCACTGACAAGTCATTTCAACACACATGAGCCTAAAACACAACACTGATTTTCAGCTTTCAACGTTTTACAGGCCTTTTAGTGACAGCATCACCTGCAGGCTGCAGTATGGTCCTTGCCCTCCTTTTAAAGAAGGAGAGGCAGCAGAAAAGTGCCTCTGAAGCAAAGTCCAAATATTTGTGCAGCATTTATTGTTACAGTTCAAGACAATTGAATACAACAGAAAGAAACTATTTTCTTCATATCACAATGCTCTTGATAAATCAGTGCAGGAGTTCCTCACAGTATCAGACTGTAGAAGGCCATGGCTTTTGATACAGCAGCTACTGCTGAGATACCCAGAATGATTTTGGCACTTGCTCCTGTGAACCAGAGCAGTCTTTGGGAGTAGAAAGAACACAAAACACATCAGGCAAAGGATACAGCATGTTAACTAAGGAGATGGAGGAAAAAAACCCCAAAATTCCTCACTTTTCTGCATCACAGACAGAAATATGTATCCAATTAAGTACACAGTGTACATGGTGGCAAGAAACTGTAGGAAGCAGTGCAAAGATAATTACAGTAATGAGATTATTATTCCCACAGCAAAGTCTCAACCATGCAAAGCAATAAATCATTAGTGCTTCTTAGAAGTCACCTCTGTTTAATTCTAACAGTTCCTCAGCATATGCAGCAGGGGCAGGAAATGTAACCACTCATTCAGTGACATTTAATCTAGCTCACTCTTGCATGCCAGACTACCTGGAGGGACTGAGGAGAAAGATGGTTGCATTTGTCACTGGAAAATGAATGAGAACTGCAGAACACTCACAGATCCTCTCTGCAGGGTGAAAAGGTGCTCCAGCTTTGTTTTACCGAAACAGACCATTGTCATGACAGAACTGCATTTATTAGAGCAACTGTTGGATGCTTCCCCTGTGAATCTTAAAAGGTCCAATTCACCTGACTGAAGGATAAAACTATTGGTGAATAATCTGAGAATAGTATTCCTGCTGCTTCCTTATGCCCACTATCACCAGCTTTGGCAGAACCTATTCCATGAAGACAATGAAAGGGAAAACCAACAAGTAGAAAGTAATGAAGGTTATACTTCATGTGGGTCTATAAAATACAACTTGTACAGTTGTACTATCTTATTTACATAATTTTATTCATCTGCTAGTCTGAGAGCCTATTTAAACCTAATAAGGAAAACCCTTTGTTCATGCTCTGATTGTCACACACTTCTGTCCATAGGCTCTTAAATTCTTCTCACTGGTCTGCATACAAATAACATTATTTTCCTCAAATTACAAGCCACTTTTTCACAGCACAAACTCAACAGTTATTTTTAACATGCTGCCTGATTTTCACATGTGAAATACTGAATACAAACACTGTTGGCAAGCCATGGGCTTGGTGCATGGAGACCAGAGCATACTCCAAAGGCTTTATGCAGATATTGTCACAGGGTTAAATGTGATGTTCCCCTTCTCCCTGATTTACTTTCCCACCCTTTGGTATGGAAATAAACCTGACAGGTGCTGCATGCTGGGGGCTTGGTGTGCTGTCAATAAGGCTTACTGCTGCTCAAATTGTTGCCATGGGTGCTGAACAGGATGAGCTGCTGCTCCTCCACCAGCCGGCTTATCGCATGGAGGAGTGACGACACAAATTCCTCACCACACAGCTCACTTCGCCTTCTTTGGCTTTTATTTATCACTTGGCTTTTGTCTGACCTTTGAATACTGAGAAATGAGAAGCTGAAAGACAGCAGTGAGAGATGGCCTGGTATAGTGAGCATTCCTTTCAGCATGGAAACCCTGTGCTGTTGGAATTCACTCAACAACTGAAATTTTATTTTTCTATAAAGCAGAAATCAAAGACCAAGGTAGGTTGTTCTATAGAATTTGCATAAGCAGTTGAGTATCTCATTAGAAAAAGGTGTATGTACAGATTTAGTGCTGAGGAGAGGAACTGAAACCTAAACTGTGGCAATGAATCTCTTCCCTTGCCATACAGACCTATACAGCACAAGCTGTCCTACAACACTCCTTTGAAAGGCCACAGGACATGACACCAAAACTGGAGATGGCACACTGGGGGCTACTGCAACTTAAAGGCAATCAATAAGGCATATAAAAGGTTTCCTACACCTCAGACTAGTGTGTAGTCTGGGTTTAATTGCTTAATTGATCTTTTTTTTAAATTGAAACTTAAATAAGATTAACTGTCTTTTGAAAAAATATACTTTGAATGCTGTTTCCCATAAAATTTCTCTGCAGTGTGTGCGTGATGAGAAGCTGTGCACCAAAATGTGAGGTCTCTGCCTGATTTCTATCTGCCACCTAAGTGAACCCTGAAAGCCCAGCCCAGCCCAGCCTTCATAAGACATGGAGGGAACAAAGAGTTCCCCATCTCCTCCGCCTGCCCCTAGCCCTGCAGCGCTGCACCAAGACAGTGAAGATGATTAAATCAGGGCCTTGGTTGGCTTGTTGCAAGAGTCAAAACTTCTTTTTTGTTGCTGAAAAAGTAGTCAGACTTCTTCCTTTTGTTTTCTTCTTTGCAGTTTTTCTGTCTTTGCAGTGTATCCATGGAGTGGATACAGCTGGACAGAGGATACCCAATAGCTATACCTCCCAGAAAATCCTCCCTCTGTTCTCTCTGATATTTGGCCCACACAGCCTTGTTCATTTTCTGAGTAAACTGCTTGCCATATTTAGATTTGGAATATAAATTCTTCCAGGTAAAACTGACAAGGAATTTGATGTATTTGCTCTTTTCTCCTTATGACAGAATGTGAGTTGCCCATTCTGGTTCTCACATGGAAAATTATACAATGTAATGTATTAGAGACAGAAATACTCATACTGATAACAAGTTATAGGGATGAATGTAGGACAAAAGGAACTAAATGTAACACTCTACAAGTCAAAAACCAAATTTGCTAACCTAATAGTGTACCACCCTCAATATCCAGAAACTCACAAAACACCTCTTGGTGATGACCATCAGCTTCATACCAAAATGCCAAAAGTCCACTTTTTAAACTAATTCTTGGCCTTTGTAAGTTTTCTGCCATTTATTGAGCAGGCCTATGGTGTCCTGATCTATTGAAATCAAGACAAAGAGTAACAACAGTCAATAGATCTACACTTTTGTTTTAGAGGTAGAAACATAAAGGAGTAAAAAATCCTGAGATCATCAAGGCTTATTTTGTCAAGGAAGGATGAGTTAAGAAAATACAGTTTTAATCTCCCAAAAATAGACCAAGATTATTCAATTTCTCATACAGACCTATATTTGCAGGCAATTGATACATAGAATATGACTGTAGGATCTAAGTTTCAGAAAACAAACAACAACATTTTCTGAGTTTATTTCAAGACTACTGGACAGACTCAGAGATTAAAAGGTAAGGGCTGCAATTACTACAGAGACAAGTAGATGAGAAATTGTATTAAGAGACCAAGACTCCATAAAAATGTGTGATTGACTATTAAGTTCATGAGCATACTTCCTCAAGGATTTCCTCTCAATGACTTGTAAAAATTGTTTCCACTAGCTCTGCTTGCATGGTTGTGGATCCTGCTGTGCTTGCACAGAATTTTCCATATAAAGAGAAATTCATTAAGGCACATTTATACACCTTCATTTTATTACCATGAAGGTACAGCACATTTATACACCTTCATTTTTTTACCATGAAGGTACAACACATTTATACACCTTCATTTTATTACCATGAAGGTATAACACGTTTTTCAACAGCCACAGCTATTGCTTCCCATTAATACCTCTCAGGCATTGCACCAGCATTCAGTCAGGACTACATGTGTGTCAAGCCTAAATCTTGAAACCAAACATGATTTTGAATTGTAATGCAAAGCATTCAGAAAAGAAGGCAACTTTGGAACCCCCTTCCATTTGAATGCATGTTCTGTTTGCTCAAAAGACTCACTTACCTTTAATACAATCGAAAAATTAAATTTAAAAATCCCTTCCAATTTAGAACTTAATATCATAGTATTATAGTGCTAGAGGTGTCTTCTGATAGTAGTGAGCTATTGAGAACAGAAACTACAAGATGAAAAGTCTGTGTGTTTCAAAAGCTTTAAAAAGCGCAATGTGGTAAATTGGTTAAAGAAAAAGGAAAGGCAGGCAAAGCCAGCTGGGATGGGTGCAGAAAAGCTGCTGGGCAGTGTGTGCTGACCTGCTGGGCACATCCTCTTCTGTGCCTTTGTCCAGCACGCTGCTCAGGTTGTGCTCTGCCAGGGTCTCCTCGGGCACCTCCTCCAGCTCCTCCTCGCGCTGCAGGGACAGCCGGTAGTTCTCCAGCTCGATGCGCTCCGGGGTGCCCCGCAAACGCTTGGCCAGGCTGGGCTCCTCCAGCCCGTTCACACTGGGACCTGAGGACAAGCCAGGCAACAAACAACAAATGCAACAGTCAGAAAGTCACATTTTTAAGAGAACTGAGCAACTGGGAGAAAAGGGGCACGAGGCAGAGGGAGGTAAATAAAGCGAGAGAATACCTTACGTCATTATCCTGTTCGCCACTACTGGGAGGCCAGACTGCAAAAGGGAATCTTAGTGGTTTTGGCTAATAGATGCTAAAAAGAATGTTAAATATCCTAGTTGAGAGAGGAAATAGGGCCATTTTAGCTGCAAAAACTAGAGATGCAATGAAGTTTGTGTGGGGAAGGCCTGGGCACACGCTGGATGTATTATCTGAGACATGGAATGCTACGGGGCAACCTTGCTGTGTGTTAAAACTGGCACCAGCCAAGGGAAATCTACAGAGTTAAGGAGCAAGACAATATTGTTACTATTTAAAGATGAGGGAAGGAATGAAAAAGGCCAAATTTTAAATTTTTTAATGGACTTGAATTGATTGACTTGTCAATCAGAATTTGTAATGAAATGAATCACAGGGACAAATCTCAGAGAGACGTTTGCAAGCAAAAATCCCAGAAGTCCCCAAAAATTGCAAGGATATGTGAACCAGACAGTTGTAGAAAAGTATTGAGAAGCTTCACTCACAGTAGCACTCAATGAATTTTATTCTATCCTGCTTTCATCAACTTATTTTTTAAATTGCAGTATTTTAGTGGTATTGAATACCACACCACTGTTGACCTCTTAGCCATATTTCCATGCTTTTGTTTTGCTTTGCTAAACAAGCCACACCTTCTTCTCACTGAAGATAAGCTCTTCAGTGCTCTGATCATCCCCCAGGTCTCTGCACCTGTCCCAGTTTGGATTAATCTTTCCAGAACCTGGGTGATTAAAAGTGAACATGGCTTTCCAGATGAGGCCTTATCAGCGTAACACACAGCCCTGCCACAAATCTCTCATCTGAAACACACTGAGAACACACCTGCCTATTTATATGTCACATAATACTGGTGGCTTTTATGAGACTTAGATCTCTCTCCTTCTTTGCTTTCAACTGATAAGCATTTTGTTGGTAGCCAAAATTCTCAACATCTTCTTAGTGCTTGACCTGGTACTTTCCACTATTACAGTCCTAAGTTTAATCTTACAGTTGGCAACATTTTGCAGTTCTTAGTGGATGATGTGCTTGTCCTCCTCTGCATTGATGAGGATTTGAAATGTTGATTCAGCCCTGAATTGCATTAGCAGATTTTTTCCTTGGTCTTTTTTTTTCAGTTGGTAACCTTAATGACAGTATTACAAAGATCAGATCCCAGATCACTTTTTGGGACACTGCATAGTCTGTAGGTTACATCCAAACCCCTTATTTCCACTTTTAATAAAACCTCTTGTCTCTCCTTTAGCCCAACTCCTTAGCTACTCACACTTCATGTACTTCTCTTCCATTTTATCCAGTTCCAATAATTATTTCCATGTGTCAGCATTCCTGTGTTATGCTCAAGTCCAGACTGTTCAAATGCACTACAATTTCCCTCATGGAGGTATCAGTTGTCAATAAAAGTTGTCAAGCCAGTTCAGCACAGTCTCTGGTGAGCCCATGCCACATTTTATAGCACTTACCTGCATGAGGTCAAAGGACTTCCCTTGCAGAACTAGCAGGTTTTAGTTATTCCTTAAAAGGTGTTACACCTACTGTTTAACTGATATATACTTGTTCAGATCACTTTTTAAAGTTTTTTATTTGTTTTGTTTTCTTTTTAGTTTATCTGCAGGACATAATTCTGTTACCCAGTGGTCCACAGTATTTCCTGAACGAGACAGTCAAAGCATATCAGGACAGCTTGATTTAATCAAAAATTGTTACCACAAAGCTCACAATTTCATTTTAATTTCTCCCACTCTTCTGAGACAAAGACTATTTGTTTCATTGTATTAGTCCTCATTTCCCAATCCTGCTGCACACTGACTCTTGCTCCCATGGAACACACTTCTGCTTTCCCTTACCTTGCTTTTACCTACATGCTTACAAAACAGAGCTCTTTGCTTTGCTCTCCTTTGCAAAGTCTAACCCTGCATGAGCTTTGGCAACCTTTACTTTATCCTCACACATTTTAACTTCCAAGACAGCTTTTGTTTCCTTTCTTCATCCTCTGTAGTTTCTCACTTTATTCCTAACAGGTTTTGGGGTTTTTTTCAGGAAAATTACTCAGTACCACCTTCATATTTCACACAAAATTACACATGTCTTTACATAATTCCTGGCATCTATTTCCAATCCCCCTCCCCTGAGATAAAATCTTGAAGACAACTGCCAGAAGTGTTTTTCTGTCTTCCTTAGTATGATTTAACCCTTCCATGATGTGGCCAAGTGGCTGCCATGCCTTTAGCTGGAATCCCAGAGCTTTTTCATGGTATAAACAAATAAGCTTGGTCAGATGGCAACACTGCCTTGCATTTCCAGGGACACTGTGGTCTCCACCATCTCCTGCTGCTAAGCCTTCTGCTGTGCCTTGGTTTGCAAAGTTTAGTGGAACTGAGCTGCCTTTTTCACTGGGATTCACTCTTTTTCATTCTCTCTCTCTCTGGTGATACCAACTCAGCCAAATCTATTTTTGCAATCCTTGTTACATTACCCAGCCCTGAGTTCACAGTACCAGGGGAACTGACCTCGAATTTTGCTCTGCCACTTTGGCTGACAGTAGAAAAAAGCAGGACTCTGGGTAACATAGTAACACCAAGGTCAGGGAAAACAAACAAGGAATATATTAAAATAATGATTTAAAAAAAAAAGGTTTTGTACTACTCAGAACTTTTTATACACATAGAGTCATCAGCAAGGCTCAGCTACTTTAACAGGGATGTCTTTCCACAAGCTGTTTTTAACTTACTCTCTTCTGATGCAAACCCTGACATAGATGCAAAGTACACTAGAAAAAGAATTCTGAAGACCAAAGAACAAGAACTTTTATCTGTCTGATATTATTTCACTCTTTTTGTTTTCTTACCTTCTTAGGGGCTTTTTGTCAGCCTTTTCAAAGAAAAAAACAAACAAAAACCCAAAACACCCAAACCCAATCAAACAATTGCCATATAATTAAATGGAGTAGAGTTCTTTAAAAAAAGGCTGTTTCAATAATCCAATATCTAGTGTGGGGAGAAAGACTGGCAGCAATCACTGCTAGGTAGAGAAGGACTGAAAATCAAGCTGGCATCTTTTTACATGCATTTCATGGACATTTATGATCCTTCAGGAAAGTTTTTCAAAACACAAAGCATCCCTGCCCTTCTCATCACAAGGACCCAGTGTAACTGGGACACAGAGAATGAAACAAATCCTGTCACAGCACAAACTGTAAGTGGGAGTAACTCAATGCAACTGTGTTAAAAAATCTTAAAAGATAGAAAATCAACCTGAACTTTAATGCAAAAAGATGTGGTCAAGCCAAGATGTCCTGTGAGCTTGACAAGCACTCCCTGCCTCAAAATCTCAAAGTAGAAAGGGCATTCCCAGCACTTTCTCTTATTAACTTATACATCCATACACTTGAGATGCAAAAGTGGTCACATCTCTCCAGTCTGCCAAGAAAACAGCTCTGCATCAGAGAACATGATACAGAAACTCCACTACCACTTTAAGCATGGGATTTCTAGGAATTTGCACTACACAAATTATTTAGTTTATTTCACATATTAGTTTTGTTTCTAAAAGTTGTCTGTTTCTACAAGATGCCATGCATTTCGCAAATCTGGCTGTCTGCAAAGTCACTGTCCAACTTATTAACAAATATGAAACAAGAGAAATGCTGCTGATAGCCATGCACTGTAAAGCCATCAACTATGAGAAGGAAAAGCACTGCACTTCACAAACTTATACAAGGGATGAAAGTAAGTGTGATATACAGGCATCACTGAAGTGTCCAGATGATGGACAATTCCCCCATTTTATATTCTAAAGTTTACACCAACTAATTTGATGCTACAATTAAAAAACCCATAAAAAAACTACAATAAAATATAAATAAGACTGAGGAATTCTGAAGCTTGCTGCCTGCTCTCATTTCTCTCCCCCACATATATAAGGTGCTAAATGCATGGGCAAAGTGTGTTCCAAGGCAGTTCTTGTAGACCTGAAGTCCCTGTGGAGGGGAAAGCTGCCTCTCTTTAATCAATATATTGTATTCCCCAGACTGTTCAGAGTGCACCCAGCCAGCACCTGACCTTCTGTTTGGCCCCACAGGGACAGAAGTCAGCAACCATTCACAGGTGAGGGAAAAGGCTGCCATGGCTGCATCAGCCAGGAAGAAAAGCTGTATTACTACCCAGAGAGGGGAGCTACCCCAAAGCCAAGCGTAGCTTCTTGAACAATCAACTGATCAGCTAAAAATCCACAAACAACATCCAAAATAGGACACATTTTAAAACCTGACTCTTTACTTTGGAAGAGTCAGTGGGCCATGAACATTACATAGATCATGTGAAGGGAGCTGTTTTTCTTAACAGGACAGGCTGCTTAGCTGCTGCATGAAAGCTGCCAGAGCCCCTAATTTATCTCAGCTTTGACAGAGCTTGCCTCCTGAAATGATAAGTGTCTGATCAGAGATAACATTCCTAACAGAACTGCTCCTTGCCTGCATGAGTGTGTCCTATTCCAGCAACTTTGGCAATTCCTGGAAGGCTTAAGAAGCTCCTCTTGAGAGAGGATCCTATCTCAACTCACCTCCAGTATTACCTTGTTCTGTAAAATCTACATGTTATTCCCATGGTCTCAATGAAATCCTGCCAAGGTTACTCCTTGACACAACATTTCCATGCTGAAGATGCAGGAGAGAACTGGGAATCTGAAAACAATGAATTCTTCCTAAAGGGAAAATACCTGTCTGTTTTACTAGAAGCTGTTTTTCAATTACCATGCAGTACCTCTAGACTTGCTTTTCTTAGCTTGCTATCTCAATATCTGACTAAAGGTGCATGTCATCTCTTGTCCAGTATTTTGCACAGACTTAGGTGTGGCCTT